ATAGTAGGGTAAAGAACCAATTATCATGGGAGTCCAGTTTACCATGGGAGTCCAGTTTACCATGGGAGTCCAGTTCACCATGGGAGTTCAGTTCACCATGGGAGTCCAGTTTACCATGGTAGTCCAGTTCACCATGGGAGTCCAGTTTACCATGGGAGTCCAGTTTACCATGGGAGTCCAGTTTACCATGGTAGTCCAGTTCACCATGGGAGTCTAGTTCACCATGGGAGTCCAGTTTACCATGGTAGTCCAGTTCACCATGGGAGTCTAGTTCACCATGGGAGTCCAGTTCACCATGAGAGTTAAGTTTACCACGGGAGTCCAGTTTACCATGAAAGTCAAGTTCACTATGGGAGTCCAGTTCACTGAGCTACGTGGCTCCTTTTCAGAAGCGAGCTGCCATCACAAATGACGGCTCGTCGAAGCGGCTTGCCGCGTGGAAATGTCCAGCAGCCAATTAGTCTAAACGCGTGACGTTGATCCCAAATGTGGAGGGAGAACACAGAGGACCGGAGAAAAATCCACGCGACTACGGGGAGAACCTGCGAACTCTAAATATGCAGCAGGTCACAGGGTCCGGATCGAACCCACGACCTCATGCATACCAGGCGAGGTAGTTAACATCTCCTAGCAATTGAACCCACGACCTCCTGCATATCAGGCGAGGTAGTTAACATCTCCTAGCAATTGAACCCACGACCTCCTGCATACCAGGCGAGGTAGTTAACATCTCCTAGCCACCGCGAGCTGTCCGCCGCGCACGGCCGCAGGCATCTCCAGGAAATGAATTCAGTAATTTGGTCGCCTGTTCACACCCACGTATTACATTATATCAACACGTACTTATTACTTACACACTCTATATATAAAACTTTAAAATACCACTTCATATATTACCAAATTCAACTGCTGACGATGCCCACAGCGGTGCGAGAGAAATAAATACCCAACATGAATCCCAGCCAAGGAGCACCCGCGCTGGGATTACACGTTTCTGCGAAAGCGGTCACGTCCAAGAGCGTCGTCCCGTGGCAATTCACGAACGCCATCGATGCCCACAGCAACAGCAGCGCGCTACCCGGTGTCGACGGGAGGGGCAAACCCCACCCCGTGGGCGCCCAGACACTTTTAAACCAAACCGGGACGCCCCCCCCCCCCCCTAAAACGCGGGGCCCGGGGCAGTCGCCCCCGAGTCGCCGTACCCTCGGGAGCTGGGGTGCCAGGGTCCCGGGGTGGGAGTGCCCACACTTGACCCCACTGCACGCGACCCGGCGTGCCCACGCACACTGCCGGTTGGACGGCGGTGGAGGAGAAGTAAGAAACCTGAGCGGGCGACCTCTGGGGCTGCAAGTCGATCGCGCTGCCCATCGCTCCGCGGCAGCGTCCCTCGACGTAGCAACGTCTAAATCGGCCCAGCGGCCGTCAGAAGTGTCAACAAGCCGCAAGTACTTATGCAAGAGCGATCAGCTGCTGTTTCTTAAGCCCGATGCATCAAGTTACTTCACTGTCGGGGTTTTCTGGCCTATATTTACTCTTCAATGGAGGGATTTTGGAACATTCTTAATCGCTCTACATCAAATTACTGTCATTTCCCGTAAGATAAATCCACAGGGTGAACGTTAAACTATATTTGAATTCGCATTTGCCACACTAAACACCCGAGTTGTAAACATTCTTTGTTATCCTCTGGGCATGTAAAGGGGAATGAAGACCTGACACGGTATTTTGTTATTCTGACATGAAACTGGGATGTTTATCTACAGTGCTGTTGGAAAGCTGCCGCAACTGCACTTTGCAATGTCGTGTTGGATTCCTTTCTAAGAAATGTCTTTCGAGTAGCATTGCTCGTACCGGTTGGGATGCTACCCCTTGTGTGCCCGTCAGCCCACGTGGCTTGCAACCCTGCAGAGGTCGACGATTCAGCCTCCCGGCGCCGTAGTAGAAACACTAGGGGCAAGTTTCTTAAAATCCGCCCTCAACTCTACCCACCGAGCAGTAGGAGTGGGCCCGTGGTGGGGTAAAGTGTGGGTGTCACCACCTCTTCCGAGACGTCTAAGCGGCGTGGAAGAGTAGGCCAAAACACCCTCAAGCCGAGGCCATTTCGCACAGCAACGACGTGAGCAAACGATTGCGTCGACGGCACGCTCACCTGACACTACGAGACAGGCCGGAGTCAAAGATGTCTCACGGGAAAGTGACATTTTCTCCCCAACTGATTGTAGTGCGCCAACGCGCTGCGTGCCTGCTCACACCGCCTGCTCACACCGCGTGCTCACACCGCCTGCTCACACCGCGTGCTCACACCGCCTGCTCACACCGCGTGCTCACACCGCCTGCTCACACCGCGTGCTCACACCGCCTGCTCACACCGCGTGCTCACACCGCCTGCTCACACCGCGTGCTCACACCGCCTGCTCACACCGCGTGCTCACACCGCCTGCTCACACCGCCTGCTCACACCGCCTGCTCACACCGCCTGCCCACACTGCCTGCTCGCACCGCCTGCTCGCACTGTGACTGGCATCATGCCTCACAGGCAGTCGGCGTGAGCTGCTGATGGGGTGGCGCAACTCTCAATAGAAGTGCTGGCTGGCTTCTCCCCACAAGGGCCCGCCTCTGTGTGAGCCTCGTGCAGCTGCGTGACATCGCGTTGTTTTAATCTCTGGGGGGGGCAAAGCGATCTGATTAGGCGGTGCATTTATTCCATCGCGAATGCAAAGGCTTCTTCATCGTCCCGAACTATTTCCTCATCAGAGATTTCACAATCCACGTGCTCCAAGACAAAAGGCCCTGTGGGCGGCAGGGGTGCTGGGGTTGCCACAGATACAAGGATTCGCGGAACAGCGATGAATCTCGCCGCGTGTGGAAGATATTGCTCTGATCGACAACCTGCCAGCTGCAATGCCGCTTGATGGAGGGATTATCACGGACTCCTAGTCATGGAAATAAATAACAAGATGACAGTTTTGCTGTCCAGCCACAGCTGTACTCCTCTTAGGGGCCATCCATTTAGCACGTACGCATGGAGGGGGGGTTAGCCCAAATGTGTACGCTTGTGCGTACACATAGGAAACGGGGGGGGCGGTGAAGCCTCGATAATAATTTGTCTACATCGGCCTTCAAATGCGTTAGATAGTCCGGCGGTGGACTATATGTTTGCTTAAACACGGCAATATTATTAATCCTTGATCGTTTCTGCGTGGATTAAATATCGGCCGTTCTATAGGATTCGGGGGGGGGGGGTGCGTCAGGCGAACGTACGCAGGTGGGGGGGCGGTGTAAAAAGTCCGCGTACGTACAGGGAGGGGTCAAGTTTTGACAGATTTGTGCGTACCTACTCAATGGATGGCCCCTAAAACGGAATGTGAATCGATAGCTCACAAACAGTCTTGGGTGGCGGCTCTTGACGCGTGTTTTTTTTCATCGCACGACCTTTGCGGGAACGGGATGTGCTGGCGGTCCGGGAATGGTCACTTTGCATTCCGGGATCAGCAGCTCGGCTCAGATCCCTGTTACGGCGTTGCAGAGGGCACGAGGCAGCTGTGAGTGCGAAGTTCTCCGCGTTCAGCCCACACCTCCCCATCCTCTCTACCACCTCCCGCGACGGGCATCCTTTCAGACAACCGCTGCACGAGTTTGGGCAGAGGGTGCCAAGGATAGGCGATGGAGGGCCCCCATCTCCACCCTCTCTCACTACTCAATTACCCCCAACCTCTCCCTCTCACCACTCAAACACACCACGCACCCGCTCGCACTCCCTCTCACCACCCGCTCTGCTCCTCTCTCCACTCACTCACGCGCCCACAATTCTCTCACTCTCTCCACTCTCTCCCGTCACCACTCACTCGCTGAACACTCGCTCTCCCCACTAACGCCCTCCTCACCACTCACACTCACCTTTCCCTACTCGCTCGCGTCCTCTCATCGTGAAATTGCCGCCACTGAAACTGACCTCTAACCGGGAAACACGACAGCTGATATGGGCATGAGCGCGTTATCGTCATTGCCATCACCGTCATCATCACCATCATCGTCTTCATCCACTTATAAGTGAGAAATTTGCGGACAATAGGATGAATGTAAGGGATGTCGGAAACCACGTGTGCATGACCTCTCTTATCCGTGAATACAAAAGCGGATGATCGGGTCACTTTGACACCAACAGCGAACACTTCTGCGTGATCTCTACCGAACGTCTGCACCAATCGGCAGAACCGATCCGCGGATGGTGCTATGGTTTTTTGCCGATCGATTCGGGGCCTCGGACAATAAATACGCCTCATGAATAAGGTTTATAGAGTTGTATTTACTCGACAGCAGTGCGTGTTATTTCGTATAGAAAATATACAAATGTAAAACAAACAAAAATATCCACTCTTCATATTTACTCATTAAATCTCTTGTTTGGCAAAACAAATTATATGTACGTGCCATCACATTGTATTGGCTACAGCTTTGAAATACCTGTGTGTATACCTGTGTGCCTACGTCTTTAAGAGTGCTGCTGGTTGCTGGCCGCTTGGCGTTTTGGGCCCTGTGCTCAGCAACTCTGATTTAAAAAACATCCACCACCAATACAATTGCCTTGAGCAGCATTATGACTGCACCATGAGCCCACTGACATTGTCATGGTGCTAGCGCAGCATTCACGAACAGAGATTCCAGTTATTAGTGCGCGTTCCAAACCCCCACAATGCCCTCCACCACCACACGCACCGCCGCTGCCGTAGGAATGCGTTTTTTGACCAGCGTGATCCGCGGTGGCTCCTGGAATATCTCCCTTCTCACACCGGCCAACTTGGCAGACCGCGGGCCACCCAGAGAGTGTCAGCTATGCAGCTTAGCCGTGCGAGGGCAGTGTCGTCTGACATCGGTGAATCAATGGGCAGCGAGTTCCCGGGGCAACAGCTTGCACCCACCACCACTCACACACCACGTGCCACATCGCCTATAAATAAGAAACCCATACATGTTGAAATGACGGTAAACACGAGCCCAATATAAATAGGGCGCTGGGAATGCCGCATTAGCGCTCTGTGAGCTGTACACCTCCGCCCTGTGCTGCAAGGGCTTGAGCGGCCGCGGTGCGTTGCCAAATCATACTCCAGCAGCAGACAGCAGGCGCTGCCCCATCATACAGGTACTTGCGGGGCATTGCACTGTGGGCACACACGAACATAGCGGTGCCTACAAGGCTGATTGTGTTTGTTTTGTTTGTGTGTAAATTAAGCGCGTGCGTGTGACTCTATTGTTCAAGTGCTGCCTCGCAACATTGACAATGCAGATGATGTGTGTGTGTGTGCTGAGCGTGGTCCAGGCCGTTTGAGAAGGTAAGGGTGACACGAATATCAAGTGTCACTGACAAAGATGTGCTTCTGATGGGTTTAATCAATCTTCGTGAATTTTTTGTTTTTAAATATTCTCACGTAAAAAAAACAAATTCTTCAGCCCCTCGGCAGACGTGTGATTGTTTAAAATCGCAGCCCCAGCGTTCGCGTTAGAATGGAAGACGCGGCTGAGACGCGGTAATTCAGGAAGCGCCAGTGTCGCATGCCAGGCAGCGTTCAGGGTTTGCGTGCCACGATACTTTCACCCACGCTGCATCTCACTGGCAATCGAAATCTCATTTCTTTTGTGTGTCGACTGTGACGACCGAACGATTTTATTTAACGTTACCAGGTAAGGACCTCCCCCCCTCCCCCCACTACGTAGCCAACCACAGCACGCGCGCTCTTCATTGCACGCAGCAAGGTTGTGTCAAAAAGACGAGCCGGATGACTGTGGCACACGCACACACACACACGTACACACACGCACGCACACACGCACACACACACGCACACACACACACGCACACACGCACACACACACGCACACATACACATGCACACACGCATACACATACGCACGCACACACACACACGCACACACACACGTTCGTGTGTGCGTGTGTGCGTGTGTGCGTGTGTGGTTAGCACCACGCTACGCTACGAATCTGGCGACCCCGGTTCGATTCCCGTTCACTGTCAACACCGGTGACGATTATCTAAACCGGTCCTGGGCCTCTCCTAGGTCGACTCAGCCTCAAATGAGTACCCGGTGCGATGTGTAAACATCGCCACTAGGGAGACAAAGGCGGCCGGGCGTGGTGTTGGCCACCCACCCTCTCGTGTGCCGTGCCGGCCTTTATAGGTGCTCGCTAACAGCACTTACCCCTACAGTCTGTTAAGGCTACACGGGGGATCTTTGTCTTTGGTGTAAGTGCAATGAGTGAATGCTGTACATTGGTGATGCATTTTAATGCCAAACTGAAGCCAGGGGTTGTCGTTGCTTGACCCCGTTGCCTTGGAGCAGATAGCGGGATGGATGTGGTTCCCACGCCCCTCTTGCTGCTGCGTTTGGCCACACTAATAGGATCCATCGATTTGCTGAATCTTCAAGTGAATCAATCTTCTTATCCGTTTCAGTGAGGATAATACTGCATCCAGTAAGAATTGACGCGCAGATAATACGAGCAAGGGTTGCAGATGCTGTAATATGAATAGTGCGTAACAGAGCTGTGGGTAAGAGGCGTTCCAGAGTTTCATATTATAATAAGTATAACCCGTAAAAACAAAGTTTTTCACTCTAAATCCTTTATATGCGTGGCGGCTAGAGTCCTCTCGTCCTCTGGCTTGAGATGGCTGCCACCTATGGGTCAGACGATTGTCTGCCAGTATTAAGCAATTGGTAATTAAATATTTAATTTGTTTTCCCTAAACAGTGTAAAATTTTGTCTCGCACAACGAGGCTGTGTGCAAAATGTCAGCTCGATTGGATCACGGGAAGTGGGTTAAAAAACGACCGAAAGATGTGCACGGTCGTAAGCAAGCAAGCAAGCACGCAAGCAAGCAAGCAAGCGAACTTAATATAAAGGATTCAATAAGTATAACCCGTAAAAACAAAGTTTTTCACTATAAATCCTTTATATGCGTGGCGGCTAGAGTCCTCTCGTCCTCTGGCTTGAGATGGCTGCCACTTATGGGTCAGATGATTGTCTGCAGTATTAAACAATTGGTAATTACATATTTAATTTGTTTTCCCTAAACAGTGTAAAATTTTGGAAATGTTTTTTTCACGAAAATTAATTGTCACGCACAACGAGTCTGTGTGCAAAATGTCAGCTCGATTGGATCACGGGAAGTGGGTTAAAAAACGACCGAAAGATTTGCACGGTCGTAAGCAAGCAAGCAAGCACGCAAGCACGCAAGCAAGCAAGCAAACTTAATATAAAGGATTTAAAAATAAGTTTTGCTGGCTGGAGGCCATGCGCCGTCCAGCGCGCAGAGGGGAGGGGGCGCGCGGTGTGAGGGGGGGGGCACAGAGGAGAGGTGGGGGGGGGGCGTGGGGGGCCGTGGGGAGGAATGCGGTGGGGGGGAGCGGGGGCGACTGGGATGCGGTGGTGGTAGTGGGGAGCGGCAGCGTAGCTTTCAGAGCGCTGCGCTACGAACCCGGCGACCCCAGTTCGATTCCCGCTCATGGCCAACACCAGTTATGACTATCTCAATCGCTCCTGGGTCTCCCCTCGGTCGACTCATCCTCAAATGAATACCCGGTGCGGTGTGTCAACATCGCCACTGGCGAGACAACGGCGGATGGAGATTTAAGAAAGCTGCCCCATTGTTTCAACTGCCGGGAGATCGAACCGGCAACCTGTGGATTGCAAGTCCAGGGTGCGGACCATTTTACACCAATGTTGCAGCATCGCTGATTTAATGTAAAGTACCTTATAGCACTGTTCAGCAAACGATAGCTAAATGCACAGCTGCATAGACATCATGCGCACCATCCAAGACAATTAGAATATCGCCAGGGGCCACTTTTTTAAGCACGTTATTGTTCCATGAAACTAAAGTCGTCTTCTTTGCGAGCTTGTGAATCGCTCGGAAAACATCCAATCCCTGCGGCAATGGAATCTCCAGCTTGGCAAGGCAGACACACATTGCTGCCTCCGTCGTAAAGGAAAATGCAACCGGAAAGCAATCGGGTGGTGCTATTACATTTCTAACACAATACAAAACAGTTGGACCCTACTCTGAAAACAGGACTCGCATGCCCCGCATGGATGGTTTAATTTAGCAGTAAATATTTGCTTGACCCATGCCCTAAAGATATGCTTAACACGAGCAGCATAGCATTTGGTGCGAGCAATGAAATCGGAGGCCCCTGTCCACCATTCCTCTGCATGTATGCATGTTGAACTTCTTTTGCACCGCACGTAGCCAACCGTGTCAATCCCCCCGGGTGTCTGCGCACTGCGGTAGCGGCTCGCCACTGGCCAGCCCCACGAGACCCTCGTGGTGCCCGGCGGACTTGATGGACGGTGCTGGCGAGCTCCCTGCTACGGGTAGCCCAAGTCACCGCATTCACACTTCGCTATTCGAATATCCGGGGTGGGAGAGATCGGCTCGTGCAAAGATGCTTGGACCCTGTGCTGAATGACAGCTGCCGATGCGTCTGAAGACGCTGTCTTTCCGACAGCCCTGTTCTTCAACTGAGGACGGCTGCTTGCGTTGTGGCCGAAACGTCGTGAGAATTGTATTTTATGTTTAATTTTTTTCATTTTATTATTTCCCTTCTACGTGACTTTACCGAAAGAACCAAGAAGATGGGTGGGACCAGTTTATAAATCACTGGCCACGGCCATGCTCTGGTCATTGCAGCAGCAGCAGCAGCGCCTTTTGGCTCGCCGTCACCGCATCGCGCGCTTGCAGAGGCGCTTCTATGGCCGTCGCTCTCTGTTCTGGCGATGAAGGATGAGATGTAAATAAGTATAACGCGTAAAAACAAAGTTTTTCACTCTTAATCCTTTATATGCGTGGCGGCTAGAGTCCTCTCGTCCTCTGGCTTGAGATGGCTGCCACCTATGGGTCAGATGATTGTCTGCCAGTATTAAGCAATTGGTAATTAAATATTTAATTTGTTTTCCCTAAACAGTGTAAAATTTTGGAAAAAAAATTTCACGAACATTAATTGTCTCGCACAACGAGTCTATGTGGAAAATGTCAGCTCGATTGGATCCCGGGAAGTGGGTTAAAAAACGACCGAAAGATTTGCACGGTCGTAAGCAAGCAAGCAAGCACGCAAGCAAGCAAGCGAACTTAATATAAAGGATTTAAAAAAAGGGAGAAATGACGCCAATTTTTCGTGGCACCGTGACTGTCAGGGTGTTTGATTGTCAGCAGGACATGCGTGCAAGCTCTGCTCATTTGGCTCCACACACAAACACGGTCACTGCATCGCGCGCTTTCAGATTCGCTTCTGCGGCCGTCTGGAACGCTCTTCCTTCCGATATCAGGAAGCCACTGGAGCTGTGCACTTTTAAATTTGCATTGAAAACTCATTTCTTTAGAACTGCTTTTTGTGTTTAGATGGTTGTCCTTCCCCTGCACCTCTGACGAGCACGGTTAGCTACGTACGGTGCGAAAGAAGTTCAACAACATGCCCCGAGTGTACTCGGTGGCTAGGAATAAAATTCGGGTCGACTGGTTCACATCGCTGGACACTAACCACTGCGCCACCCCTCCACCCCTTTATTAATACGAAGGGTAAAGGTGCAGCCCTGCAACGATATTATTCATGTCACTGCAAGCAGAGAAGCCTCCACTATCGGGAGCTATAGAGAGCCGCTCCACATCCCCACCACACCCCACCACACCTCACCACACCCACCACACCACACCCCACCACACCACCCTCCACCGCAGCACACCCCACCCCCCGCCCCACCCCCCACCCCACCACACCACACCCCACCACACCAGACCCCACCCCACCACACCACACCGGACCTGCCGACCGAGTCACACTGGTGCACTCGTAGATGCACCGCTGCGTGGACAGAGGGCGTCGATTTAAGAAACCCGCCCTGTGAGGCCACTGCCGCACCGGGAGGTCTAATCAAACCGGCGACCTCGATATGCTAACCATTACGCAACAGCAGGGTGCTTTATTAATGTACTACCCTTCAAAAAAACCTCTTCGACGAACATGATCACTCTGAACCCTGGCATCCCTTGGCAGTGACCACACTGCCTAGACGACGCGTCCTGACGAACTCTGACTGCGTGTGGCATGGAACTAGATTCGAAGCTTTCGTGACTGCAGGAATTACTCTGTGGGTCTTTCGGTAAAGTCACGTAGAAAATCAAATCAAATAATAATAGAATACGACGTTTCTGTTGCAACACAAGCAACCATCATCAAGTAAGAATGAATGATCAAACACAGACACGGGAGCAGCATAGGCAGACACACATGCAGAGAGAGACACACACACAAAGACACACCGAGCGAGACACACACCAAGACAAACAGCGTATGGCATGGTGATGAACTTCAGGAACCTGTTATTGCATAACTGTGCGCGAGTGAAGACCAATAACAGCATTCCGGACACTTTCGTCTCTGCTCAAGGAACATGCTGCGCCTGCATCTTTCTCGACAGAGTGGAGCACAGGTCAGGGTATTCTGATCCTGCCACGCTCTCTAGCACGTGTCCACGTGGCACTAAAAATAATCTGCATCACCCCTACACCTGCACAAGATTGTGGAGACTGGCAGACGCCCTGGCAACAGATTTGTTCCAAATGTCTAAGTCAGCTGGTCTTCCGTGACATGCGAAGCCAGCAGGTCATTACTTCTGCAGCCGGTGATGGCTGTAAGCTCCATGTTGACTGGTGGGAATGATGCCAAACAAGAGATTCAATTTGCATCTAGATTTCAAACAGGGCACTACAGTACTTCGCCCGGTGCTTGTGAGCCTAGTGCCTTCTATTTAAAAAAAGAAACATCGATATCTACTATACAAGTAATCCGAGAGGCAATCATCGCGTGAGTTGTGATTATGTGGGCTCATGTCAGCAGGGTGTATTGTGTTGTGAGACAAAAGTGTGGGTGGTGGAGGAGCAGTGATCGCACTGTAACTACGAAGCCAGCCCACCCCAGTTCGATCTCGGCCACGGTTAACACCAAAAGTGGTGAGTGGTATCTGGGCCCGTTCTGGGGCCCCGATTCACCAAGCCACACCGACCGGCTGGGTGAACTATGGCCACACAACACTCACGGCCGGCATTCCATGGGGAGGCCTATTTCCGGTCGTGGATTCCTTTGGGCAACGATTTAATTATTATTTCCGCAATGTTGTTATGAAATATAATATGTTTATCACATGGGGTCTCAGAATGATGATGAACAAAATAAATGAAACAAAAACTGCCAAAAAATGACACAAATCCAACTGTCAAAAAAAGTGGGTTTCGAATGGAATTCCGTCGTCGCGCGAATCTCGTTCAAGGTTCCGCCTCGAACTCAAACAAAAGCGACGCTCCGTGGTTTAGCGTCGACATCCCGTGGCCTCCCCCCCCCCCCCCCCAGCAATAGGAGCACCCCAAGCGGGAGCACCATGACGGGCACGCGCTCCGAGGACCGCCGGCGTCGCGCCGCCGACCCCACGAGCTCCTCCGCCTCCTGCGGGCTCAGCGCGGACGCCGCCCTGCGCAACGCCAACCGCGCAACCCGTGGCCCCTTCGTGTGGCAGAGGGCGCGCGAGCCCTCCCCGCGCGCGCCCTCCTCGCGCGAGCCCTCCTCGCGCGAGCCCTCCCCGCGCGAGCCCTCCCCGCGCGCGCCCTCCCCGCGCGTGCACAGCGACGCGGCGGAGCCACTGACGCCTCCGCGGTGCAGGTAAGGGACCCGCAGACGGATGTTCCTGTCGCGACCGGCGGTATTTTTGTTCTTCGCGCAGCCTGCGTCGTCGTACAGACACCAGACTCACAAACAAAAAAGAGAACGGATGAAGGGGAGAGGTAACGACTTAGCCTGCTATGGTGGCACGGAGGGCAATGTGATACGAGCAGGTGGTTGTAACACTCGGGCGGCGGTGACTACAGTCGCATGCCAACATTTACAATAGTAAATGTTTACAATAGTAAATGTTGTGGCTTGGCTCTCCAACACACCGGTGTGCTGTGCTAGTGACGAATTGGCACGTTCTGTTTACGTGACAACCCTTACTAGTTGGCTGTGTCGGGTGGTGGCGGGTTTTAACGACACATTTAGATATTTACGCGATCTAACCCAAAAAAAATCTGTATTATGGGTGATATTGGTCGCGAAAGCCTCCTCCCACGTGTTAAACTGAGAGGCGTTCAGCTGAAACCGGGGGGTGAGAAACCAAAAGAACAAGATGAGCCACTTTTTTTTCAAATTCGGAACAAACAAACAACTCAATATTTCAAGAGCCGCCAATGTAACGTGAACAACGTCACGAAGCACTGCTGACAGAGCCGCAGGTGGCCGACCCCTGGCTTGAACGTGGAGCATCTCGAGATCGCATTTGCATGTCCGTCGCGCGCACAGCACTTGCAAAGTTGCACGGGAAATGAATCGTAGCTCTCAGCTTCGATCAAAACGACGTCGGCTCTCCGTGAACTTCCGACTCGTGCTCCACAGCGCCGCGGCGGAGAGGACTGCGAGCAGGCGCCCGGGTGCGCCGCTGCTCCGCAATGATGAAGACAGAAGCCACCGCGCCCTCCCGCGAGAGGTCGCGACCCCGCGCCAAACGAACCACGTGTCCGTGCCACGCGGAGCTCTACCGCCCCCTGGTGGTCACGGCGAAGCAGTGCAGACAGCCGCACCTCCTCGGACGAGGTATGTGGCTCTATCACTCGTACTACATTTTCTTCTTGGTTCTTTCGGTAAAGTCACGTAGAAGGGAAATAATAAAATAATAAAAATAAAACATAATAAAATAATTCTCACGACGTTTCGGCTACAACGCAAGCAGCCGTCCTCAGGTGAAGAATGAAACACCACCAAGCTTGGAGCGTATATTTAAGAACCAAGAAGATGAATCCCTGCAGTCACGAAAGCTTTAAATCGTATTACATTGTCATTCATCGCGCGCGTGCTTTCTTTAATGGAATGTTTCGTCAAAGCGCTTTCTGTGGCCATGAAGCCAAGGCCGAGTGGTAGACTTGACGCAGGCAGGATTAGTTGTGGGTCACGTGACACATTTCTGGGAGGCTCAACTCGGGACACACGCCGAGGGGGCCTCTTGTGAAGTTTTATTGGTGCCCTGAACCTGCGTTCTCAAATCTAATCATGCATCGCTCCACGCCCATCTGTGCACTATTCCGTTTGAGTTGATTTGTTTGTATGCGTCTCCGTCACAATGTGGGTTGCTGTTCTCTGCTGCGGTGGTGGGGGGGGGGGGGGGTCTCATTGTCCCGAATGTGGTTTCAGTTCCAAGGCGATTCAAGGATGTTCGCACAAGCCTCCCCCAGAAGACTCGTGTGAAGACGCCTCACTCGGCCTCTCCCTGCACAAGCAAGTGAAGCTGCAGCAGCAGTGAGTTGTCGCCCCGGCGAGCGTGCTCGCCACGGGACCCCGTTTGGACATCTTACGCGTCTACGACGGGGATACATTTTTGAATGTCATATTTTCAGAGATCGAAGATTTTTAGCCCCAAATGGGATTGTATTTCTAAGCTCCATATTTTTGGATTTTGACGTATTGAATGCGTTGATATATTAATAATGGAATTGCACATTGTTACGAAATGTTCCATCGGTAATTTGTTTGAACGTAAACGGTTTCTATGTCACGTGACGGAACCTTTTTTTGGCCAGAAATGCACGGCAGTGATGTGACGTCACGTCCAATGGTCACGTCTCGTGATGTCACAAATTTCGGATGAATCTGATTTCCCAAAATTACATCCAAAAATGTCATTTCGAGGCCCGAATATTGAATTTTGTTCAGATTAATCCGAAAATGTCGAACACGTGGCCTCGTTTTATTCACCCCTTCTCGCGACACCCGTTAAATCCACGTAGCCATCTCTGTGTCCTGGATTTCCCTCACTAGCTACAGATTCGAACTCAAGCACCAGAGGCGACTTAAATTCATAGCTCGCCACGGAACGGTGCTTGGATAGCAACGCAACGGATCGCAGAGCTGGGATCGACAAAATAATTGTCTGGACCAGGCGTCAGCAGCCTGCAGCTCTGGAGTGGCGCGCGGCTCTGCAAGGAGCGGCTTCGTGGCGTTGTCCGTTCGGGGCCACCACCGTCTCGTGTTCACCGCCACAGTGCATTGTGGGCTCTTGAAATGTCGAGTCTCTTGTTATTTTGGTTGCCGACCCCGCTGGTCTGGGACTCTGTGCGAGGCATCACCTCCTGCGCCGCGTGTGCCATGTGACCACCAGGTGGAGCCCCGTGTCCATGGCCATCAATGACGACAATGCCTTCGAGCTGACGCTCTTGAGGGAGGCTGGGGTGAACCTTCTCCGCGTTCCCGGACAGCTCCTGCCGGCCATTCACGAGGCAGCTATGCTGGGCAAGACTCGCTGCCTGCGAATGCTTACTCAAGGTCCGCACAGAGCACACGCAAAAATGCCCAATTACGCTCTTTCGTCTTTCCCCAATTTGACATATCTTTTTAAATCCTTTATATTAAGTTCGCTTGCTTGCTTGCGTGCTTGCGTGCTTGCTTGCTTGCTTACGACCGTGCAAACTTTTCGGTCGTTTTTTAACCCACTTCCAGTGATCCAATCGAGTTGACATTTTGCACACAGACTCGTTGTGCGAGACAATTAATGTTCGTAAAAAAAAATTCCAAAATTTTACACTGTTTAGGGAAAACAAATTAAATATTTAATTACCAATTGTTTTATACTGCAGACAATCATCTGACCCATAAGTGGCAGCCATCTCAAGCCAGAGGACGAGAGGACTCGAGCCGCCACGCATATAAAGGATTTAGAGTGAAAAACTTTGTTTTTACGGGTTATACTTTTTTTAAATCATTTATATTAAGTTCGCTTGCTTGCTTGAGTGCTTGCGTGCTTGCTTGCTTACGACCGTGCAAATCTTTCGGTCGTTTTTTAACCCACTTCCCGTGATCCAATCGAGCTGACATTTTCCACACAGACTCGTTGTGCGTGACAATTAATTTTCGTGAAATTTTTTTTCCAAAATTTTACACAGTTTAGGGAATTTTTTTTAAATATTTAATTACCAATTGCTTAATGCTGGCAGACAATCATCTGACCCATAGGTGGCAGCCATCTCAAGCCAGAGGACGAGAGAACTCTAGCCGCCACGCATATAAAGTATTTATGGTGAAAAACTTTGTTTTTTACGGGTTAAATTTTTTTGGTCAACAACACTTCGACTCGTAATTGAGATGTTTGCGCCATTCTCACGGCAACGGAGGCCGTCGTGAACGAACGTGTTCTGTTTCGCACACGCGCGCCGTCTGGCAGCTTGGGGGTAATGTCGCAATTCATGACGAATCCGTGACCCGCGGGACGAACCTGCACGGCTCGAACCATGAACGTCTCTCTGCAGCAGCAGCAGGCAAATCCACGTGCTGCCAACGAGTGCCCCGATGGTGGGGAGTTGCTGACTCCGAATTAAAAGAATGGGTTTCTACGTGACCTAAATGAGGGTGGTTCAATGGGTAAAGGGACTTCGTAATAATTTTGTGATCAAAGTCAAAAATGTAATCGTGAAAGACACGTAGCCCTGGTACTCGTATGCATGTGTTTTCTTACAGATCGTGGACTAGATTGCAAACATAGTGCGCTCTGTCTGATATGGCAGTGCCCTGGCACAACTGCACATTACAAGTGCAGCGAGCTGGTATGAATATTGTGCAGCAGTATCGCATTAGTAGCTATAACGTGAGCACATTATAGCATGATCATCATCATCAAAAGCAGAATCACAGTAATAATCATAACAGCAGCAGAATGTCTTTTGGCTAGCCATTATGCAACATCACACATTGCGTGCCGTTGAGAAGGGTGCGGATTGAATTGACATGAAACGACGTGGCATATTCGCCAACATTTGTACGTGTTGGCATTTAAACTGGAAGAGAACATGTCTCTACAATGGAACAACCAGTAAGTGGGGCAAGAAAACTCACGCCGCATGCTGTTAAGTCTTTCGACTGAAAGCTTTAAATCGGAAGTTAGTAATAGCTGGCGGACGAAACTGTGCTTACACGTCCGTTCGATCTGCTCGCGATTCCCATTGTCGCCGCTCGCTCAGCTTTCCCAAAAGCCCTCGACGAGAGAACGAAGACCAACGATACCGCCCTGCACCTGGCGACCTGCCAGGGCAAGACGGAGTGCGTGGACATCCTGCTGCAGGCCGGAGCCAACCCCAATGTCCACAATACCTGGATGGAAACGCCTCTGTACAAGGGTGAGAGAGGCCTGTGTGCCCGCATGCGACCTCACTCAGGAGACTGGAATCACGCAAAGGGAATAAGCAGCAGCATCAGATCGAATGAGAAGTGTCGTTGAGTGCAACGGACCAAGAAGTGGAGGTGCTACGGTGGCGATGAGATGTTAACTACCTCGCCTGGTGTACAGGAGTTCGTGAGTTCGAACCCGACCCTGATGCCTGCTGCTGTATATTTGGAGTTTGAGTGTCTCTCTCCCCGTGGTCACGTGGATTTTTTCTCCTGGTCCTCCAGTTTTTTTTCCACATTTAGAAGCAAAGTGAGTGCATGTGGCTGCAATTCATTTCCACGCACTAAGCCACTTCGTTGCGGTATCATTTGTGATAGCAAAGTCGCCCCTGAAAAACAGATATATAGCTCAGTGGGCCTTACCTGGTCAAATATTTAAAAAAAAGAAGTGTCACTGCCGGGCGTCATTTCTCCTTGGCAGCCCCCGCCGTCTGAGAAGTGACCATCATCGTCGTCATTATCATCATCTTCGTCGTCATCATCATCGTCGTCATCATCATCATCGTTGTCATTATAATCATCATTGTCATAATCATCATTGTCATCATCATTGTCATTATCATCGTCGTCATCATCACCCCCACTGCTGTCGCTGCTGCTGCATATTCACAGCAGCAGCAGCAGCGTTCACTACGCACCTAAACTTAAAGGCCCCACTTCGTTCGCCGCCCTTTCGAGTGACGCTGAGTTTGGTTCCACACCTCAGACTCACGGTCGTTCATGCCTCTGAAATATTGCACGCGTTCTACATCGCATTGCTATTGTTACTGTTAAACATGATGTTGTTGGTACTGAAAAGAGGCCTTGGGAGCTGCGTGCCTGAATCTACACTGAGCTACAGAAAGAGGAACGCACGCAGGTCAGGGACATCATTCCGACTGCGATTGAGCGGAAAGTGGCAGAGGCAGGACACGTCGGCGGATAGGGGTGATGGCGGTGGTCAAGGCTCATAACGGAGTGGTGGCCCAAGGAGCGAACATTTAATGTGGAGACCCCGCACCTCCGATTGGCACGGTTGGCTACGTACAGTGCAAAAGAAGTTCAACATGCATGCATACACCACAGCAATCGTGTGTGGAAGAGCCAGGTGAATCCTCGCAGCACGACAAATCCGCGAGATGTCCGTCTTCATCTCGGGGGTGGTGTTCATCCAGCAGCGGACGGATGTCGGGTTTGACGGCGGGGTTTTGCCCGCGTGCGGTTCCTCTACCCCCCTCCCCGTGGCCGTTGCGCAGCGTGCGAGTACTTGCTGCTGGAGGTGGCCGAGCTGCTGGTGCGGCACGGCGCTAACGTGAACACGCGCGACCTGCACAGCCACACGCCCATCTACGAGGCCATCACCCGCCACAGCCTGCCCATCGTGCAGCTGCTGGTGGCGGCGGGCGCCCGCGTGGACGTCCGCGACAACTACGGCGCCACGCCGCTCTTCGTGGCCGCCCAGTGCGGCGTGCTGAGCGTCGTCGCCTACCTCGTCCGGATGGGTCAGTGCTCTCCCGAGCGGCTCGGCGCGGCGCGTGCGTGCTCCGTCCCGAGAGCGCGCGCGGTACGACGCGCGGCGGCAAACCCTTCGGAGGAGAAAGCGTTCCGAAGCCTTCGCCTTTTACCGCACGTGCACGTTACTGCACGTCCGTGAAGGAAAGAGCTCCGTAGCTCGTCGGATTCCTCCCGCAGTCTAAATAAACATCGCGACTTGCGATTCGCAGGCTCCGATGTGGAGAGGGCCACGCAGGATGGGAGCACGCCGCTCTTCGAGGCGTGCAGGAACGGCCACGAGGAGGTGGCCGCCTTCCTCGTGGCGTCCGGGGCCAAAGTGAACCGGCTCAACGACGGCGAACTGCTGCCCCTGCACGCGGCCGCCCAGCAGGGCAGCCTGCGGTGAGCGCTGCCCTCCGCGTTGGCACCGCTGCTGCTGCTCCTGCTACTGCTGCTGCTGTTGCTGCTCCTGCTGCTGCTCCTGCTGCTGCTGTTCCTGTTGTTGCTGCTCCAGGTCACTCTTACGAATGGGACTCATCCTGGTTTCTCTATTTCTCATCTGGTTAAACAAAATCAACTTGAAACCACCAACGACACTACCACCAACATTCGACTTTCGCAATTAAACCATCCACCATAAACCGTCCAATCTTACAACCACCAACAACCCCATCAACATCACCACTGCCACCACCATCAAGCCCAGGACTCCTTCATTGTCCGTACACAATTACTTCCACCACTGCAACGGCCGCCACCAATTGCGGTCCATGCGCTCTTCCGTGCAGGCTCACGTCGCTGCTGGCCGAGTCGACGAGCCGGATCGCCGTGGCTCGGAGTGGCATTAGCCCCCTTCACCTGGCTGCCAAACACAACCACGACGACGTCCTGGGCACGCTGCTCGACCTCGGGTTTGACCCCAACGCACTCCTGTCTCACAGCCGCTCCAAATACTTCGAAGACCGCCGCACCACGGCCCTCTTCTTCGCCGTTTCCAATAACAATCTGAACGCCGCTCGCCGCTTGCTGCGAGCCGGCGCCGACCCGAACCTGGACGTTCTCCAGCCGTTGCTGGTGGCCGTGCGGATGAATTCGCTGCCCCTCGTGGAGGCCCTCCTGGAGCACGGCGCCGACACGGAGAAGCCCGTCGTGACGATCGGGCGCCCCACCGCGTTCCCGTCGGTGCTCGTGTATTGCGCCAGCGACGTGCGGATGCTCGGCTTGCTCCTGCGCGAGGGGTGCGATGCGCGCTCATGTTTCGATTGTGCCTTTGGCGTGGACTCGCACCACGTCCAGGTAAAGGCTGAAGAGGAGGGGCTCTGGGAAACACACGAGCATGCGATAACCCCGCTGCCCAATAGAACCATGCAGGTACGGATGTGCAATCAATCCAGTTTATTTGATTTAGAGGTCGGAATGAACTGTTTCCAAATACACAACCAAATTTTTTAATTATTAATAATCGGATACCAATAGGTCAAACTAATATCAGTCAAATATCATTACCATCGTAATGGGAAACTGATATCGGGATGATCAAAAGCTGCTGGGTTCTAATTTTCTGTTCTGTGAACATTGCAGTTCTGTGAGCTGTTGACGAGCAAAGCGATGAGCCCACACTGCGAGTCCATTGTGTGCATGCTGCTGGAGCACGTGGCCAATGTGCACCTCTGCTCCTGCATCCTCCAGCTGCTCTGGGAGAACTGCGAGGATGTGGTGACGATCCAGCGGCTGGCAGGTACCCTCCCCCACGGCGCCATCGGTTTCTCACTCTAAAAACAACTACTACTACTACTGCAACAGTAAACAAGACGACGGTTGATTGGTTTATACATTTTGTTGTTGTTGTGGTGCTAGGTGCTGAAAGCGTTTGACGACTTAAGTAAAACCATATTTACGTGAAACTATACAAATATCGTATGGAAGAGCTCCATAATAGAGTTTTTTTGGGGTTAGATCGCGTAAATGTATAAATGTGTCGTTAAAACCCGCCACCACCCGACACAGCCAACCAGTAAGGGTTGTCACGTAAACAGAATGTGGCCAATTCGTCACTAGTGCAGCACACCGGTTTGTTGGAGAGCCAAGCCACAACATTTACAATCGTAGTACTGCCAGTAATTACAACTAGCTTCATCAGGCGACAGCCAGATTTGTGGAGAAGTCCGCCTGTTTCGTTCCTTATGTAGAGGCGTAGATGTGGTGACCACGCTTCTGCGCTCTTGCGCCACGTGGGGGGGGGGGGGGATTACTGAGGCAACGTACATTATGCGAGCCCTTTGAACTTGTCCTTCCTGTCTATTGTGTGTATTAAAATAGCGTACCAACGGTAATCCCTATTGAAGTAAGCTGCCCTTTGTAGGCATGCATTTAAATAATGTATTATTTGATGATTCGCTTCCACGCAGCACTAAGGCAGTAGCTATCCGAACGGTTAAAGTTATTTTTATTTCTTTCAATTTCGATAGCTTATCTAATTAGTCTTGACCAGTAGTATCTAGTTTTGCACAGAATTTCAACATTATCAAAATCAATTGAGTGTCCTAGTTGGCACGCTTGTTCTGCTACTGCTGACAGTTGTATTTTGGAGAATTTAATATTTCTCTGATGTTCTTTTAGTCTCGTGCTGGTCATTCGTCCTGTTTGCCCAACGTAACATTTACCACACGTGCAGTTAATCCAGTACACAACTTCTGTTGATTGCTTCGGTAATACATCTTTTGTACCAGATATTAATTTCGGTATTTTATGTACAGTAAGCAATACTCCACTTATCCGTGGCGACGTTGGGGACTGATATATCAGCGACCCGATTATCCGCAGCGTTATTTGTGAATTTACCCCACTCATTCACAGGGAAGAAATCGTGCGTAGCCCGCGGGCTAATGAGAATAATATTTTGCGTGACTCCTCTTAACCACAAGTAAGGTGCACGTAATGGGAAGCTGTTCCGCATAATTAGAAATATAGGGCCGCTGATGATATAAGTTCTCGCAGACCCAATGGCTGCCCTGGATAATGGGAGTCATGGGTAATAGGGTAGAGAGGAGTTTTCCTATATTATGGGTCAATATATTACCTTGTAGTCTAAGCCAGTGGTTCTCAAGCCTGTGGTCCGCTGATGCCTGGTGGCCCGCGAAATGTTTGGATGTTGAAGAGGGGTCGAAAATGTTTGGAGCCGCTGGTGTAGGCAGCGGTGTCTAAGAGGGGCCTACAGGGTGATGCTCGAGGCAAGTCGTGTAACAAGCTGGCACTCGATGTTTTTTCGTGTAATCCGACCCCACTGATTCTGAAAGTTGCCGTTGCCAAGCCAAATCTAATGGCTTGAAGCACATAATTCAAGATGGCGGCCAAGATGGTCGCCAAATAAATAAACAGATTGCTTTTGGCTACCAGAGGAGCCAGACCAACCATTTCAAAACTTTTTGTGCAGGGTCATTGATGTCAAAACAGCGAATGATACTTTTGTCATCCCCCTTTCCCTTCTACTTATCTTACTCAGAGACCCCCCGTTCACTGGTCCACCTGTGCCGTCTGAAAATCCGCTCTACCCTCGGTCGGAAGCGTCTGCGCTCCATACAGTGCCTCCCGCTGCCCCCTGTGCTGAAGAATTACCTTGGCCACGTCGAGGACAGCAGAGCCTGATCCAACGGCATGCCCATCAGCGCATCCGACATAATATATGGCGACCGTGCGCATGTTTGTGTTGTGAGCAGCATCCTTTTAAAATCAGTATGCTGTCGACAGAGCTTTAATATGGATTATTTTACGAATAAAATTCATGTTTTCAGCATTGATGACTTCCAAACCCGAGAGCAGAGAGGGTCAATGACCTCCCTAAACTTGGAGCTGTCACTGGAGTTTCCTCCTTTTCCAATAAGGCAAGGGTTGTCTCAGTCAGCCTCGGTCGTCAGTTTGCGGTAAATGATAATAAAGTTAAACACAACGAAACCAGACCTCGGTACAAATAAATTCCTGCTACGTTAATACAGGTGTCAATTCCCCACACTGTCTTGGTCAAGCTCTGACCAAGTGGCAACCCTAATTATGAGCTCCGTACAATCATCTTGTAATCGGCCGGCGGTAATATTTACAGAGATAAACTTGGTTTGAGGGCCGCTGGATTTTCTAAACTTAAAAAAATAATAGTTTGTCCAGACTCGGTTTACCGTGAGGAGGGTACAGTGCGTAGGAAAAACATTGATGAACAATTAAAACTCGTCTCGAGTAATTCCCCACTCCCTTCTCCTCACCCCGCAAATCCCAGACTCCACAATACGCTGGTGCTTGACTCTGCTAGAAAATGATAGTTGATAGGCTGCGACAAAATGCAACCTCTCAGGTAGGCAGGCAGGAGGAGCTGGGTGCCATCCTATCGGTGCTTATTAGTTCTCTCTGTACAGCGATATGTGTAAGATTGCTGATGTAATAATGTAGGCTCACATTTTATATGTGAATGGAATGTACGATATGTGTAATGTGTGTTATTTATATATTGTTGTTACATTTGTAGGAACATAGGTCTGTAAATGCATCATGTTGATATTATGTACTCTATATGATGTACTTTACGACGAGCTGTGTGAATAAAGTGCATTGCGTATGAATATGGACGTATATATATGTTTGGATGTAGTCTTGGGAGTGCTTTAGTACTCTTGGGGTATCCTTATCGTCTGGACGAAAGTTAATCATCAGAATTGTATTTCTGTAAGCATTTGGCTACGGCTCTGTAGGTTTGAAGGCGGATACTGCCACTTCCCCCCACCCAAGCGAGCGATTGTCAAGATGCGAATTTAATCCTCTGTGTCCGCGTATTTTAACGTTGTTGCCAGGGTAAGAATGATCGGCGTGATATTCTTTACTGTGAAAAGACGTCAGGGGCCATTCTGCCGTGTGGAGAGTCTCGCGTGATTTATTCCTTGTTTTGTCGATATCTGGATTCAGTCAGATTCTGGATTTAGATTAATATTTTTTTTACATCAGCTTAAGATGTGGACGGTGGCATTAATGTATTAATGTATTAATCCCAGCCACACAGTACCTCCTCATTTGTGAAAAGATGAAAATGTGCAGCCCTGCAGTGGCTTGAGCCCACGATTGCCCGCAGAAGGTCATCGTCGAGAAACATCTCTTCAAGAAGCAGCCGTTCTCGAGGGTATTTGGCCTCCTGTATCACGCTGGCCAGACAACTTGCAATAGCTGGGAGCCACTCACACACTCACTACCACAGCAAGCGACGTGATGATTGACGACCTCTGGACTAATCGTCCGTACTGCTGTATGGGCACACGAGGAGCTGGAGTCGAGGGTTGGGGGGGGTGAGGATGGATTTAAGGAGCCCGCTCCGTTGCTTCGACTGCCGCGGTGGGAGAGTGAATTGGAAGCGGAGAGGTCTGTGGGACCGCACGTCAAGCTGGCTGTGTCAACCTCGACAGGGGCCTTCCACCCCTTACGCACACCGCCGATACACACCCCGTGTACACACCCCGTGTACACACCGCCGTGTATATGCGGTGTGTACATGCACGACACGAAGCGCCTTGTAGCAGTGCTGTTATGCAAGCTCGTTGCGTGGTTTGCCTGCAGCGTCCTGTTTGTGGTTGACACACAAACAAATAGAGTGAGGAGTCTGTAGGGAAGTGTCTACAAGAGCACGCGCGTGCCCCGTGCAGCTGCTGCTGCTAAGTGCACGAATGGCCCTAAGACACGCCGCATGCTGGGTGGTGGTGGTGAGAGGGTGGTGTTGGTGGGGGGGTGGTGGGGGGGTGGGGGGTGGTGAGAGGGTGGTGTTGGTGAGGGGGTGGTGGTGTTGGTGGGGGGGGTGGTGGGGGAGTGGTGGTGTTGGTGGGGGGGTGGTGGGGGGGTGGTGGTGTTGGTGGGGGGGTGGTGGGGGGGGGGTGGTGGTGTTGATGGAGGGGTGGTGGTGGGGGTGGTGGTAGTGGGGGAGTGGTGGTGGGGGGGTGGTGGGGGTGGTGGTGGGGGGGGGTGATGTTGGGGGGGGGTGTTGGTGGGGGGGTCTTGGTCGGTTTTGGATTAATTCGACCGACGTCGTTTGGGAGCAGATCGACATCAACACAAAGAGATTTGGGCATAATAAAAACGAAATTCAATTGTTAATGAGCACAACTGCTTTACTGTTAGCTGATCCTCCGCTTTTTTAGTAAAGCTTTTTTCCGTCTTTTAAAGTGGCAGTCTGAGAATTGTTCTGTGGGACATAAGCGCGTGTTGTAGCCCTCGGGGAATGTGGAGTTGCAACCGGATTCTCAAAACAATTAAAGCGATCTTACCTGGAGCTTGTGCTAAAATGAGGATGCATAATGGGAAAAGGGGAATTGAATTTGCATGCAGAAACGAATAAACAGCAGGCGGGATATTATACAGGTCTGCGGTATATCGTTGCTGCAAGTATTTGACCCGGAGCCGTTGGGAAGCCAGGCGGTTTCTCTCCCTGCGACATTCAACTTGTATCTGGCACTCTCCGCGTCTCCTCTGCTGGCTGTCTGCCTGGCTGTCTGCCTGCCTGGCTGCCTGGCTGTCTGCCTGCCTGGCTGCCTGGCTGTCTGCCTGTCTGTCTCGCCGTGTCTCAGTAGCTCGCCTCGCGAAGGCAGCGTGGTTGCACGTCGCCAACTGTCATCCACACAGTTCATTACATTTTGCATTATTAGCTCATCACAGGTTATTAGTCCATATCTATTACACGTTTGTAGTCGCCTGCATGGCGTTTTATGCCTTTGGGCCCTGTGGCCCAGCAAACCACGGCCTGAAATAAATCATTTCAGAATAAATCGGCTGATTGCATAAAACACCTGAAGTGAAGTTGGTCCATTAAATGTCAGTTGGTATCTAGACAGGAAACTCGGGGAAGCGCTCGCTCAAGTTACTTTACGCAACCCGGCCCAGGACTCCGACTCACCACCCTCCCTGCTCACACACGAGGCCACGAATTACCCACAGCCATGAACCACCCCGAGACGAGCCCCCTCACCGGCGCGACAACTCGTGCCCAGGGCTCGCCAGGTGGGTGGGCAGCGTCACGCGGTCACTCGCCCGCCACTCCACGGCATCACGGCAGCGGCATCGATTCGCGCACCACCTCCTGGGCATGGCAGGTCGGTCCTTGGTGATCCACCGCCAGCCCACTTGGCCGAGCTGCGTAGCCCCTATGCAGAAGCGGCCTGGGTCACAAATGACAGCTCAACGACGTGACTTTAACACGTGGACATTTATAGCGGTCAAATACTTCGAACGCGTGTTTGTATATGTGGAGGGGAAAATAACCTGCGGATCCGGAGAAAAATCTACGCGACAACGGGGAAAGAGAGAGATGACAACTCCAAATATACAGCAGGCTTCAGGGTCGGACTCGAACCCACGACCTCTTGTATACCAGACGAGGTAGGTAATATCTCCTAGCCACCGCGGAGTGCAAGTCGATGCTCATGCCCCCTGCTCCTCCCCTTCAAGTCCAGCGGCGGCATGCGGCATCAGCAAACTGGGCAAAAGTTTAAGGCGTCCAAGACACTTCAAAGGGCCCTGGATTCGTGAACAAAAGTAGTGCAGCTTCAACTCGGACCCTTAGGCAGTGCCACTGCCCTGTTCGATGCCGTGACCTCTCGCGTTTCTGTGATGTAACAATCCACCCAGCGCCTCTAGACGAGCTGACCTCATCGCTGCAACTCTCCGGCGGACGTCGCTGTCGGATGTATCCATCCAATTGTCTGCCGCGCTGACACGACGCTTGGCCATCCCTCATCCATTCTAGTGACGTGTCCACATTCGATTTAAGAAATTGAATGTGAACACGTATGAAGCACGTTTCAGGTACACGTGTCAACAATGTCGTGTTCCATTCAAAAGCATTGTTTTAAAGGAAACAGTGCATGTATCCAATCAACACTTAGCAATCGCACTAAGAAGAGTCACAATCGCACGTGCCGAGCACATTTGTACATAAACAAAACAATCATTTAGAACCTGGTTTTCTCAAACCTGTTTCTATGACAGGGGGCCGTCCATAAATGACGTCACGCACCTAAGGGGGGGGGAGTCAGACATTTGTGACGATGTGTGACGAGGGGGGGGGGGGGTGTTTGAGAAATGTGACGTCACATCAAAATTCGCAACTTTAAATAAATATAGACAACACGTTCTACTTAATTAAATAGACGTTTTAATAAATGTTTTCTCCTACAACATCAGAGTGCAGCGCCACATTAAATACACACTACAATGACAATAGTTTAAAGCGATTTGAAGCATGTTTTATTTTCAAAATCCAAATATGGTTTTGGGGGGGGGGGGGGTAGAGCTTTGTGACGTCATACTTGAGGAGGGATCTGACTTTTTGTGACGAGGGGGGGGGGGGTTAAAAATCGTCCAAAATCGCGTGACGTCATTTATGGACGGCCCCCAGGCTGATGTTGTACTGTACACGTATGCGCCACGTCTCTCGTAACACTTCGTTGGCAGTGATGCACAGGCACCGAGAACGGACACGCAACGACGATGTGTGACGTCAGTCATCTGTGCGTTCGGTGGACACGCCATCGTGTGTCTGCTCCCCTGCCCGGAGATCCACTCGGGGTCACGTGCTCGTCGTTGTGTGGAGCCTTAACACAATGAAGCCCCCGTGACCAATTCGTTTTAGTTTCAGCCGCTTAAATTTAGATTTTTTTAAAATCACTCAATCTTCGTTATGCTACGTGGAGTCATCGGGGACAATTACCAGGACTTTGTAAGATGGATGTTGATGTTTTTCAAAGCCCGATTAGGTTCTGATTATTCCCACTGGTTCTCGTAGTTGGCGGATATTATCGAGGCTTTGCTGAAACTACAGCGCATATGTGCGATACCCAAAGGTGTATGTGCGTGCGAGATGGCCGTCGATGTTTAAAAGTTCTAAAAATAAATACTTATTTTAAAAAAACGGTGGAGTGGTGGCACAATGGTTAGTGCACTGCGCTATGTACCCGGCGACTGGACATTAATTCCTGGTTAGATCTGAACCAGTCCTGTCCCTTCCCTCCATTCCCTCCATTAATCAACTCGCACTAACCAGAGCGGTGAAGTATGGTGACCCCTCCCCCCCCCTGATAGACATTGCGTGAGAAAGCATTCATCTATCGGTAGATAGAGAATGGCTGGAACTCAAACATATTTAAATATATGTTTAATTAATTAACCGTTTTTAAAACCATTTCGTGCACAATTTTACGACTGAATGCATCATAAAGTACATCGGTTGGTTATTTTGTTTTTGGAGACTGTGTAATCGCTTAAATGTACGTATTGGTGGTCTGCGTGAGTTCACACACAAACGCCACTGTTGAGGAACACATCACAATCTGCCGTCTGAGAACATCCACGCGTCTCTTTATGTTTGCATGTCGTCGTGAGAATTGACTGCAAGTGTCTCCACTAGAGATGTTCCCTCTCTCGCTCGCTCGCTCTCCATTCTGGCTATGAAAGATGAAATGTAAAAAAAAGAGAGACTTTTTTTTGACTGTCAGGGTGTTTGATTGTCAGCAGGGCATGCGTGCAAGCTCTGCTCATTTGACTGCACACACAAACACGGGCACTGCATCGCGCGCTTTCAGATGCGCTTCTGCGGCCGTCTGGCACGCTCTTCCTTCCGATATTATAGAAAGTCACTGGAGCCGTGCACTTTTAAATCATATGAATTGAAAACTCATTTCTTTAGAACTGCTTTGTTGTGTTGAGTTTGTTGTCCTTCCCTGCGCACCTCCGATTATCACGGTCGGCTATGTACGGTGCAAACGACGTTCAACACACACACACTCACTCTCACATGCCAGCGAGTCTTCGCTGGAGCATCTCTGGAGTCAAACAGAAACTTGTGCATCTATGTCATTGCATGCCTATAATCGAAGGATGTTATACGGCCCACATTTTAAAACAAAATAAGAGGAGGACTGCCACAGCGATGTAGCGCACTGGGATTTTGCAATGCAGAGGCCTCCCAGGCGCGGCAGTTAAAACAGTGGAGCATTGTTTCTTGAATTCTCTTGCGGATGAATTTGCGGAAACCTCGGTGGCTCGGAAAGAGGGGTCGTGTTTACCCCGTCCCGCACCTCCGATTCGCGCGGTTGGCTTACGTGCGGTGGGTGGTACTGCGAAAGAAGTTCAACAAATAGATATACAACAACAACAACAACCGTAATTCGCCACTAAGTGGCGGTGACGTCACCACGACGCTTGTGCCAGGCTGTGTGCGCCTTGAAGCCACGTGAAGTGTCGGACGCCCGCTGGCAAGGAGGTCACGGGAGCAGACCCAGGTGCCACGGGTCGATATATACACATATATATCCACATACAACATACACACACAGCATGGCAGGAAGCGGGGTTGTTATTGTTCCTCTATTACCGTACTCCGAGGCTGGAGGGGATTCCTCCCCGGGGCACCGCGGGGCCGTTCCTGCGAGAGGCAGCGATGATGAACGACTCGCGATGGGAGGAGGCGCGCGCCCAGACGCCGCGGTGACTGCTGCTGCAGCTGCTGCAGCCTCCCTGCACCTGGGCCTCTATCCTCAACCAGCAGGCAGCCTCGCCATCACTCCAGTTCCCCATCATCCCACCAGCAAGCGGCCCTGTCGTTGTTATCGCGTGCCGTACGTGTATTCGTCTTTGCAGCGGGCTCATATTTGCGCCTCGCAGATGGTTACATTTTCATTTCGTTATGAAGACATTTAAACAGTCGCTTGAAATTATATCAATTATACCCACTTGATATTTGGCTAGGGTGCTATTTATTTCTCATTCTACTTGCCTAGATGGTTGATGGAGCTGATGACCAACATTCTTGAAAACAATGTCATCATCACAAAGGTGATGATGCGTCGGGGAAAGTCTCCTCGTTGACCCGAGGAGCTGTCCTGAGTAGGGGTACCCTCGGTCCTTACCGTCCGGTACCGAGCGACATGAAACTACCACCACCCCATCACCCCCAACACCATCATCGCCACCTCATCACCAACACCATCACCTCATGACCATCACCACTACCTCATCGTCCATGCGTGGCTGCTCCCCTCTGCTCGATCTCACAGCTGTTGCTCAGTCAACACGCCACGACCCCCCCCCCCCTCCCCCAGGCCTCCCACGGCCTGGTCTTAAACCTCCAACCCCCCCTGGTCTCAGACCTCCAACCCCCCCTGGTCTTACACCTCCAACCCCGCCTGGTCTTAGACCCCCAACCTTGGCCACCGGACTTGCGCGAGAGCCACCGTACCGTTTTCAAATATTCCTCATACCATATTTTAAATCTCTATTCAGCTTGCAAGAATATCGATCAATACAAATTTCGCGAAGGCAATGTAAGTAATTGCACTTATGTGAACGAATTATTGCTTTAAAACTTTGGTGCATGTTACTTGAATCTGTATTGCAACCGTCATTCCAAAACAAACTTCTGCATAATTACTTCAGCGCGTCCTGGAAGTCGTATTTATTTTACGCGACATTCCTTGGTAATAAGTGTGATTTCATATTTTTCCGCTGTATTTTTTTTTTAAATGTCATTCTCAAATGTTCTGCCGCGTCCTGTTGACGCAACCATTACACGAAGGACCCTGGCCCATGTAGACTCTGCTTACGAGTAATCACAACACACGCGTGCAGCCAAGCAGGCGTGGGGAATGATACCCGTTTTAGAAATAAGTACAAAGTTGTGGGTTTCCTTGAGGTCAGCGATGCCATTCAGTAGAGGTGCCGCAACACTCTCATCTGCGTGTTTATTTCTGTTCATGAATACCGTAACAAAAGTAATGTTTCAGTTTTAACACACAGTAGGCTTTCGCGACCAATATTTTCCATAATAGAGTAAACCCACTACTCTATTTACAATTGTAAATGTTGTGGTTTTGTGAATGTTGTGAGTTTACTCTCCAACACGCCAGTGTGCTGAACTAGTCACGAATCGACACGTTTTGTTTACGTGACAAACCCCTTACTAATTGGCTGTGTCGGGTGGTGGCGGATTTAACGACGCATTTATATATTTACGCGATCTAACCCCTCCCCCCCCAAAAAAAATAAACTTCATTACGAACGAATGTTTTCCACACCGTTCACATTGTCTTCACACAATGTAGCATTTTAATCATCACTCTTGCCTTCATTATGCCTATTACGCCGTGTGTTGCCTCTGTGCGCGTGTCAACACGTGATGTGTGGGGGTGGTGTCATGGTGGGATTACACGTGGAGTTATCGTGACTGGGGCGAGGCGAACATCATTTGCGCACGGTTCGTCTCGAGGTCGTGCCCGCGGCTTCGTGCTCATCCGGTAACGCTGCTCGCTGCAGCGTCGTGTCCAGGTGGAGCAACACGACGGGAACACGCGAGTCGCATCCTGAACAAGGATAGTTCCGTGCGACACGCGGCGTTGTTGAACACCGCACTCGCGGTTTCCACTCTGGGGCGATAACGCGTGCAGCTGAGTTAATTGATCATTGGAACACAAAGGCATCGTGTGGTGACGTCGCCACTGGTGGAAAGAGGGTAGGTGACTTAATCGATAATTGGAACACAAAGGCATCGTGTGGTGACATCGCCACTAGTGTAGAGAGAGGATAGGTGTTTTAATAGATAATTGGAACACAAAAGGCATCGTGTGGTGACGCCACGATTGGTGTCGAGAGACGGTAGGTGACTTAATCGATAATTGGAACACAAAGGCATCGTGTGGTGGTGACGATGATGCTCATGAACAATGCTGGGGGGGCTTCACCCGTCGGACCAGTTCAGCGGAGTGCGATTCTGCACCTGTGGCGCGATAAAACGCAGAGTCCGTGAGCTTCGGAGTCGTTGTGACAGCGCGAGGCTCCCCCCCCCCCCCGCTCCACAGGCGACTGGGGTGACCGCGCTGGGCCCCAGGGCCGAGTTGAGACGTCCAACGGCGTGCGGTGGCATTGTTGGGAGGGAGACGCGTAGGGCCCAATGCAGTACAAGGTGGTCCAGATGTCTTGTGTCCCGCAATTAATTGACCCCAAACATTTGTGTTCACTTTGCATATTCATTTCTGTTTTAAATAAACCTTACTTGATTAAAAAAAACCCCATTAAGTTGTATAGAGTCACGAGACCTCTGGACCACCCTGTAAAATGATATTGCTGCATTACGTCTCCCAAATGATTTCAGTGGCGGATTTCCGAGTGGATCACCAACCCTGCGTTTAGCAAAACGCAGCCGCGTCAACTCCACACGTGCACGGCTGTAGACAACAACCAGCCTTGGGCAATGGCCTTGCTTCAAAGGGCCAAAAGCACTTCCTCCCGCCCCGGCAAGGTTCTTTTTAGAACCCCGCGTGCAAGTCTGCGCTGCGGCGCTGTTGATGGGACCGCTGTTTAATTGAGTTGTCCCGCTCGTTTTTCGAAATTATCTAAAATATAAACTCATTTTCTTTTTTCATTTTTACCAGGTAAGGCCCGTTTGAGCTATTTAGCTCTCTTTTCAAAAGCGACCTGGCTATCACGAATGATAGATCGACGAAGTGGCTTTACACGTGCACATGTATAGCAGCCAAATACTCTAAACGCGTAGATATGTCGATTCTAAATGTGGAGGGGAAAATCGGAGGACCCAGAGAAAAATCCACACGACCACGTTGAGAGAGAGACACCGCAAACTCCAAATATACAGGCGTCAGGGTCGGAATCGAACCCACGACCTCCTGTACGATGTCCGACGTTTCGCACCACGTGCTGGAAGAAGCTCCCAGCACGTGGAGCGATGCGTCTGCAGCACCGTGGCGAACCGCACGCGGCGGTCGGAGGCGAAGCTCTGGGGGTCTGAGAGCCGCGCAGCTCAGCGGCAGAGACCCTGAAGCAAGTTGGTTCAATCTTTCCGTCTCGTCCGTCGCCAGCCTCGCCACGCGCCTCAACTGCAGTCCCCGTGGAGATCTGCAGGGGCCAGTATGCCACGCGTTTTGCCGGGACCCGCAATGCGCGCGCAGAGCGACCGCGTTGCGCTGGGAAGGCTTCGCGCTCTCGCAGCTCGCCGCTCATCGACGGACATCGGCGCGCGCGCGCCGTGGTGGTGTTGGTGGTTGATGTTGGTGGTTGATGGTGGTGGTGGTTGATGGTGGTGGCCGCACGGTCCTGGGATTGAGAACGGCTCGTGCGCATTTTTACAAGGGGTTGACTTCGGGGTTTGCAAGAACGCGATGACCGTCTTCTCGTGGTAACTCCTACCCCGACTAAACCCGCACACTTTTCTCCGAAATTAGTTTTGGGGGTGGTGGTGGTGGGGAGGAGGCACGCGGAGGAGCGGCTGTGCCGAGCAGCTGCTGCTGTTGTGGACAGCACCCATCCCATGCAGGTGCCGGTCATCTTGCTGCACCCCGCTGCTGCTGTCGTCCACTCCATCATCATCATCATCCTCTTCATGTCTCGGCTGAAGTCCTAACCGGGGTCACCGACCCGATATTCCGCTGCGGTGAACTACCACGTGTCCAGGGATGTGCGCAGGACATCCCGGGCAGAGCGTGAACCTTCTGGAAGCTAACGGCGACTGGGATAAATAAATCACTTTGAACGCGAAGGGAACACTCAATGGATATACCGTAGTTGGTGGTGTTGGTGTTATGGTCGTGTTGGTAACCGATAAGAGAACCGGTGGCACGGGCTGGTCACGGTTAAATCCAGCGCAGGTGAGCGTGCGTGCGTGCACTGGGTGGTGTGTCTGGGGGTGGGGTGCGCTGGGTGGTGTGTCTGGGGGTGGGGTGTGTTGGGTGGTGTGGCTGGGGGTGGGGTGTGCTGGGTGGTGTGGCTGGGGGTGGGGTGTGTTGGGTGGGGTGTCTGGGGGTGGGGTGTGTTGGGTGGTGTGGCTGGGGGTGGGGTGTGCTGGGTGGTGTGGCTGGGGGTGGGGTGTGCTGGGTGGTGTGGCTGGGGGAGGGGTGCCCTGGGTGGAGGGGCGTGGATCGTGGTACCAGCCGGAGGCGCCCCGTGCACGGGACTCGATGTTCAGCACAGGGCGGCTGCTGTCCCGCCGCGGGGCCGACCCGGGATCTGCATCATGACGCTCGCCTCTCGCCAGCAGCAGCAGCGGCAGCAGCAGCGGCAGCTCCAGCTGGGAGTCCACCGCCTTCTGCTGTGCTGCGTCTCGTCCTGCATCATCATCGTCACCGTCGCTCAGGTGGAGTTTGTTCGCGCGCTCATGCGGCTCGCTGCGTGTGCGCGTCTGCGCGTTGGTGCTCGCTAACATCAATTGCCCCAACAGACCTGTTCAGGCTATGCGGGGGGGGGGGGTCTTCGCGTCTTCGCGTCTTCGCGTCTTCGCGTCTTCGCGCTTGTACGCACGTGTGTGATGTGCAGCGCAGATATCCTCCTAAAGCGTTTCGCGGAGTTCGTCGTTGACAATTCGAGCGGATGTTTGCGTGCTGGCTTCAAGCTCGCGATGTGAGCGCGCGCGAGAGAGGGGAAGGGGGTGAGCGAGTCGCGTGGACTCCAGAGATCTCCCAAACCTCCAGGGGGGAGTGGCAGGGCTGTTGGTGGCTTCCACAATCCGCCTGTGAAAGGGTCTAGACGGAACGTTCTCTGGTTTAACAACCACATTGCTATTTCGACTTGGTTCTGCCCTGGTTCCACTCTGTATAAACCACTGCCATATCGGTACTCGGGAACGCGGTACCCAACGTCGCTCCCGGCTCGGTGGCCACCCATTCCTATCGGGATAAACCGTTCTCGAACTGAGTTCATTGACTAACACTTGTGTTGATTAAATAATTTTTCGATTGATCAAGTTAAACATTTCAATGACCAGATTTTCACATCTTGCCCTGGCGATGGAGACACCGATTCGTTTTTGCCAAATATATATCAGACGAAAAGTAATCTTTGTTAAGTTGCCAATCTGGCCCTGTACCATTTATAAGTGCTGTTTTAACAGTTGTTAAACTACGTTAAATGTTATTGCCAATAAAGGAGCGATGCCTGCTCGTCCCTTGATGCCACGCGACCACTCACAAAGGAGCCGAGAAGGACTCTGGCCACACCACAGAGACTACTCCACCATCTTCTTGTAGTAGTCTCACTGTGGTCGTGGTTTGGGCGAGACCGGGTGGTGAGCCTGGTCTACAACAACAAGGTAACTATTTATTTTCTTTGCGAGTGCCCACGTATCTGAACCACACGTTATAAGTGGCAAACAATTGAGAACCACTTATAATCAAGGCAGAATATCCATGCTGCTTTTCGTGATCTTATTCTGTTTTACAAAACCAGTCAACGTTGCTGTTTGCTGAGTCTCTTCGTTTCCATCCGAATCAGCCTCCGATAACTGCGCTCGGTACACGGTCTACTGCTGTTCAGTTGCGTCCCTCCAACATTCTCTTGTTTGGCAGGTTTGTTGTGCTTGCCTTTCGCTTTGCTCGTATTTATCTCAAGTTAGACATTGTAACGTTATGAAATCATTGTATTTTTTTCTTTGGTTGTTACACAAAAATCTATCGGTAACAAGTCGGGGAGAATATTATCGGCATTGATGCTTATAAATGTATTTCTTGAATACATTTTTCCAAAAATATATTCGAATGCTGCTGTGAATAATCTTGGTGAGAATGCCTCCTTGCCCGACTTCTGATTTGTAATATTCTGCTCTTCATGCAATCTCAACTTAACAGTTGCAGCTTTGTAAATGTTTGTTGCATTTCCAATATCTATGTATTTATTTGTTCGGGCCTTGGTTTGTAAGAGCTTTGACCTTGGTGATATGAGTATCGAATGCAACTATAACCGGCCATCATTAATGAAGAACACGCGATTGATTAAGTAGAAGCTACATCAAGTTATCCAAGCTTTTACAAACTAATGAGAAAGTGAGTAGGCGTTCTTAATCCAGCCAAATTGATTCATGGCGAGTGCTTATAATCGTATTCACTTGTGTCCACTTGCCCTGCTATGAACAATCCCAGAGGCACTTTTAAGTTTGGTTGAAGCCATAACGATACATTCAGGCTGAAGCAAAGTTGACATTTCCCGGTGCCGGCATTTGTATTGAATATCAACCTTGGAGCCAGTGGTATAATCTTGATCACATTCCTCATAATTATTATTTCTAATGAGCTCTAAACCAAAGACAGTCTGACAAGCAGAACATGCAAACTATTATCGTTAACACGTGGTAGTTTTTTCCCCCAGCCTATATTACGATTTATAATTGATTTTTGGGTTAGGCCACGTAATTAATCCGACCAGATTTTTGTCATTAACAACCCTCCACCATCTGACACCGTTAGAGAGATTAAATTGTCCTGCGTACCAAGCGTTTAACGTGCCGGTTATTATTGTATCAGCTCGCTCACTGGCGAGTTGAAGAACAATTTTAACAACCATATTTTGCATTGAGATAACGAAGAGTTGCTTGAAAATACATGTGTAGCGCTTTCGGTATTCCTGGATTTTATGCCAAATTCTTGGCTTTTTATCCTGGCTAGAGGGCCTTAATCTGGAAGTGGCTAGATCACGGCTGATGATTATAAAGGTGCAGCCCTGCAATTGCTTGCTGACACCATTGTTAACGGAAGGGGTCTCTACCAGAAAAATCTCTAAAGGGTCCATCTCGAGGGTCTATTGGCCTACTCTTTCATGCTGGCCAGGCGTCTTGCAAGAGTTGGGAGTACCCACACTTTACCCCACCGCGCACGACCTGCCGACTGACTGTGCCGCACACATTTAGACTGCCGGGTGGATGGAGACGCGGTGGAGGAAATGTGAGAAACTGATGATGGATGCGATGACGATTCATATGACGATTATGGAGAACGATACGATGGTGATGATGATGACGACTTAGATTTGTGGTTCTCAACACGCGGGCCTGACCCCTGGTTGTACGTGGCAATGTGAGGTGATTTATCCAGGTGTGGAATTACATCATACACGAGTCATTGGTGAATAATCACGTATGAATCTGCCAATATAAGATAACTACGATAAAAATGTAATCCATATGGTAGCCGAGGACGATTGAAAAGACCTTTCAAAACTCATTGATGGTAAACAATGCGGGGTTTCAAGAGTCACCAGCGAGCGAGCACAAATTGCGTCACGCAACGCAGAGCGTCTGAATTTTGTTTTTACTGCAGTTGCTAGCAGCTGGTCAGGATACCTCACACAATGGACAAATTGGTCCACAGATTAATGTTCATTATTAATTTGAAAAAAAACTTTCTCAAAACCATGTTGGGCCAGGCAAAGGGGTGGGGGGGGGGGTAACTCGGTTGAAATACATTTCTAACAACAAGAGGGTGGGGGGGAGAGTAGCGAAAACAAGAAGGGTTGAGAATTGTCGATGATGATGGATGACCACCACCGCGGTGCCGGCTTGAGACGAATCGGCGCTGTCCGCCGGCAAGACGCCGCGCGCGAGCTCGCCAGCTCGCCGTGAGCACGCCGTGAGCTCGCCGTGAGCACGCCGTGAGCTCGCCGTGAGCACGCCGCCGCCTCCTCATCCCGACAGGCGACGCGCACGGGAGGAGGAGGCGGCGATGGTGGAGACGGCGGTGGCAGCAGCAGCAGCGGTGGCGGCAGCAGCAGCAGCGGTGGCGGCAGTGGAGGCGGTGGTGATGCGTGCCCCGCGCGCACCACGGACAAGGTCACGGGGCAGAGCTGCGAGAAGCGGTGGCGCTGGGCGTGCGTGCTGCCCCCTCCACCGCCGCACCCTCCACCCCCACCGCCTCGGTTTCGAAAGCCACCGCAAGTCGATCCCGGTGAGGAAAAACGAAAAAAAACCCGTTGTTTGTTGTTGTGTTTTTGTTTACACGGGGATACCTTTTTATTATTATTCTCATCACCATTGGGGGTTGGGAGGAAGGCTGCCACCAGCAGTGGACGACGGTCATCGTGATGAACTTACCGTGAAGTCCGCAGGTGGCAGCACGTTCCACCTCTCGACGCGCCAGTTTGAAACAACGGAGCAAGTTTTTATTTTATTTATTAAATCCCTGCACACCGCCTCTGGCCCACCCAGCAGCAGTGCAAATTGGTAGACCGCCGTCGCTCCGCAGGTTTTGTTTGGGAGGGTAAAATGCGGCTACTGCCCAAGATGCCTTGCCAGCGTGGAAGAGTAGGCAAAATACTCTGTGGGGCGGCTCTCGAGAACTCCCTCCAGGGGAAGCCCTTCCACTAGCAGTGGCGTGGGCAACCAATTGCAGGGCTGCACCTTCACCTTTGAAATCTACGGCTACTGAAACTGGACAATATTGGGTGTTTCAGCAATTCTATAGGCGTGCTCTCTCCAGGTGCGTAGGTGCTCTGTGGATCGTTATGACATTGCGAGATCGTGAGGCAGCTGTGGCTTGGGGAGGGCTTAGGCCTTCATTCATCCAGCCGTGGCTTTACCGTGGCTAATGGTGATGCATGTCAACAAAAAAATGTAAATACAATTTGAGCGCTCAATTTAGAGCGGTCGTAAAAAAATTAGCCCGATGTTTACCGTCGTTTGTAGCAGCCAACATTTTGCAGACACGGCTATTGAAGTGCACACTTGCCATAGATTTACACAACGCACATATAGCCGACTCCCACGCTGGATTAGCAAGCTTTAGTGTACCGGAGGTAAAGCCTCCCCGTCTCTAGATTTGTGTGTTGTTGCCTCTGTTCTATCGATAATGGAGTCACTGTCGTGTAAATGCTGAACTGGCAGTCGAGGACGAACAGGGTTCACTGCCTGGTCAAGGTGACAGACACCTTGGGCTTTAAAAAAACAGAGTCGTGGCACAGCAGTTAGCGCACTAGACTGTGAAGTCGGCGAGTTGTTAGATTCTCGACCTTTGCCGTGACACACAAGTGGAGAACGCAATCTCATCGCCCCCACCACTTTTACCAATCCGTATTGACCAGCCTGGTGAAGTATGGTCAAACAATACTCACGACCGATACGAGGTGGGGAGAACTTCATTCAGCAGGGCATTAAACAAAGGGCTAGACGTGTTTGTTATTAATTATTTACACTCGTCCCAATTATAGTATTCATTTGGATAATTGTACCGATTTCTAAGCAAAAAATTATCATTGTCACCGTTTATTCAGACCCTTCGGAAAGTGTTGTGTTTATTGCATGGGGAAATGAAAATCAATATTTGTAATCATTTGCATCAATGAGCTCTTGCTTTCGTTTCTCTAATTGGCGACTATACTGGAATATGTCCTCCCCACGGTCAACATATGATTTATTTAGTGGCGTACAGTGCTGCGAGTACCTTATAAAAGGGTGCTTTATAAATGTAATTCATAGTCGTTAGTCGCGAATAAAACGATTTTCTAGGAATGCAATCGTACTGCGCTGGAATCTAAATTGCCTAATGGCGAGAGCTGTGAGAAAAAAACCTACCACCACCAAGTATTAGGAAGTTGCAATGGACAACAATCGGGCATCTTCTCACATACAACGGATTTGCCTGAAACTATTCAGATATTAAGAACATTTTGTCCAAGAGTTTTTGGTGTCAATCTCGAACAACCGAGTGAGTTGGTCACCCTGTGGCTTCAACTGCTGAAGTGCCGCGGTGGAGAGATGCTGACTGTCTCGCTTGCAATGCAGGAGGTCGTGGGTTCGGTTACAACCCTGACTGACGCCTGTTGTACATTTGGAGTTTGCGTGTTCTCTCCGTGGCTGCGTGGATTTTCTCCGATTTTCCCTCATTTTGTGGCCAGGTCACAGCTGAAAAAAGAGCTGGTAAAAAAAGTTAGTTGTAGTTATATTCTTGGTTCTTTCGGTAAAGTCACGTAGAAGGGAAATAATAAAATAATAAAATATAAAACAATACAAATTCTCACGACGTTTCAACTGCAACACAAGCAATCATCATCAGGTGTGAAATCCACTTTTTTAAAAAATTCTTGCTGTGGATTTCACACCTGATGATGATTTATTTGTGTTGCAGTCGAAACGTCGTGAGAATTTTTATTTTTTTATATTTTATTATTTTATTATTTCCCTTCTACGTGACTTTACCGAAAGAACCAAGAATATGAATCCCTGCAGTCACAAGAGCTTTAAATAAAAATTTTGTTGTAGTTGTATTTAGTTAAACGCCTCCCCCGTTCTCTTCTGTCCCATCCTCTCTTGTCCCTGTCCACTGTGCAGTCTCCACACTCTTTGATCTCATCTCTCCATGTGTCTGGTTTATATATTTATTTTTGTTCACCTGGGTAATGTGGGGGTGGGGGGTAGAACGGTGGGGTGAAAGGAGAAACATTGAAAACGCAGAGGATGAGAGTGAATCATTAGAGAAGGAAAATCCATTGCAGTAGCAGCTGCATCTCAACTTCCAGCAGTAGCTGCCTTGGCCAGTCAATGAGATGAAATCATCTTGTACGCTCTTGAAGAGTGAAGGAAATTACATCTTCTACACTCTTGATAAGTGAGAAATTTAATAATCTTTTCCACTCTTGAAGAGTCAGAGATTACATCATATTCTACGCTCTTGAAGGGTGAGAGATTACATTATCTTCTACGCTCTTACTTAGCTCCTTTGGCCTTCGTTTTAATCCCGGCTGTCAAAGCAACTGGTCGCTCGCTTCTTTACCGTAGAACTCACGACTTGGTGACCGTTGTTTTGTTATAGGAAGTGGTTTACTGGTCCCATAAAATGTCGCAAATCGAAAGCCAGGATTAAATACCATCACAAGATCTGGCACAGAATGTTTAATATCCCTAATAGGGGTTACTTGGCTCGCTGTTATTACGAGGGTATTACTCGTTTGAAACGTATTGCACTGCAAATGGTAAAAATGTAAAGGTGCAACCCTGCAATTGCTCGCTCGCGTCACTGGTAGCGGAAGGGCCTCCACTAGAGGGAGCTCCTAGAGACCCCCTCTAGAGAGGCATTTGGCCTACTCTTCCCTGCTGGCTAGACATGTTTTAAGAGGTGGGATTACCTACACTTTTCCCCACCGCACGCGGCATGCTAATTGATTGATGTATCCAAGTATACTACAAGTTCGACAGAGGGGCTAATTGGTGGGCCGCAGAGGGCAATGCATATTAAATAATTCACACAAAGAAGACGTTTGTTATAGTCGAGCGAGCACAGCATATCCTGCAAGTTGGAGACGGAACCCTGTTGGCCTCAGCTACTCGATCCATTCGCACGGTCGGCTACATACGGTGCGAAAGAAGTTCAACATACAATTACATCGGTAGGGATGGAAATTGGAAAGCAGCATTCCTGTCTTATTTCCAGGCTTTCGGTGATTGCTTAAGTGGCAGTACAATTCAGTTGAAGTTGAATACGTTGGCAATTATTTGAGTGAAATGGTTAGATCAGAGGTAATCTGCTGATAGAGGTCGAATGTTTAATCAGAACTTAATAAAAGGGACATTTCAGCTCTTAAAACCTTACTTTGGCTAAGAGAGTTTGTTAGACTAATGTGTGGTTTCATCCATACAGGATGGCATTCATCTAATATCATGCACAGCACCATTGAAAACAACATTCTATTGTCGTAACAATTAAGAAATGGAAAATCGTACATTTTCCAAAAAACAAGATTTTTTCATTTCCATATTACGTCACAAACACAATTCCTTGCCAATCATCGGCGCACCGAGTTCATCGCGTTGCCAAAGCACGAACACCTCCACTAGCAAAAACGAGACGTCGCGTGAAAATAATGTTTCACTGCAGGGAAGAGAGGAGGGGTGGCTTTGTGACGAAGGTTGTGAACAACAGACGCTCCAGAGTAGCACTGCTTGTCAGAGGGGCACATTCTACGCCGACGTCATGGAGGCAGGGGCGGTTTCTTCATTAGGGCGATTGGGCGACGCACCACCAATGTCATTGAACCACAGAGTTACGCGAGCCGTTACTGTGCCTCTGGATATAGTCCAATCAGCGTCATGTCACGTTCTGTGGAGTACTGCCTCTTTTTGGGCGATTTCACTCCGGCTGAGAATCGCCCAGAGTGTTCCCATAGACTATTCAAAGATGTTTTTTTTCGAACGGCGGGCGCTGCAATGCATTCTCTATGGCTTCCGGGAGGGCATGCACTAACGTGCTTACGTCATCAGACGTAAGCACGTTTCAGTCAACAATATTATTTGTCGCCACCTAGTGGAATCTTTAATAAAAGAAACTGAGTGGATTGTAATAATAGTGAGTATAGAAACAAACAAGATGTATTGTAAGAGTCACTTTATTTTTTATTAATATTAAAGAAGTGAAGTTGCCTTTACATGCTTAAGCTGTTAATTTATCCATTGCATGGGTGGACCTTATCCTTATCAATCATCCAGACATTTGCCCCCCTGAGAGATTTTGCAGGAGCCGCCACTGCATGGAGGCATTCGTTCGCGTGCGCAGACTCTGATGAAAAATGTCGACAGCTTCTGCGATGTACCTCTCAAGACACTGGCAGTTGACAAAGTGCAACCTGATTTGAGGGGGGGGGGGGAATGTGAGCTTCATTTTCCTCGCTGAACTTCTTTCGCACAGTACGTAGCCAACCGTGCCAATTGGAGGTGCAACAGTAGTGCTCTGAACATCACCACAGGAAGCGCCCTGCAAACACGGAATGTCCCCAAGCTGAGATGCGCATTATGTCACACTTGTGAATAAATAAATATATACATTAGCCTGACCCCAAGCCCGATTTAAGATGTTTTGAGAGGCCAGCGTAGCTGTGGGCTGACTCTGGCTCGGCAATTAGCCGCTGAACAACCACGCGTACCGCGACGGGGGGGGGGGGGGGGGGGCCCTTGGTGATGTGCCATTTGGAAAGTTGGGTATTAGTGATCAGCTCAGGACCTGGAAAATTGGCTTGTGGGAAAGCAGGCATCACAAGCTGACGCAAGTTAATGTGGATTGGTGTGATTTAATTTTATAATTGAGGTTATGGCACTAATTGGGGGTGTGAAAATATGGGTTTAATTAGAAACGCGCGTGGACTTGTATTGACGTGTTTGAGCCCAGAACATCCGCTCTATAAGAAGCCGAATGAATGAACGTTCGATGAATATGTTGTGTACAGTATTAATATTACATTCACACTGCTGGATCAAAGTGTGCGAGACCGCTGAGGGAATTTCATTATTTTATTGTTCCACGCGTAATTTTGGAACTGCTGTCGTGTGTTTAATGCAAGAGCCAGTTGATTACATGGTCCTTAATTGGGGAAATAATAGCACACAGACCGACAAACGACCCATGGTATTTATGGCATAATATATGGTTGCAAACAATTGCAATTGACCTTTTATATTGTATATGCTTTAATTTTCCTCTCTTTGAAAAGAGTATACATATTTAAAATACACTTTTATTGTTAGCTCTGTTAACCCACGACTGGATGAATGCTTTCCCATACAGTGGCAGTCTTGGGGGTTGTTTGACCATACTCCACTACGCTGCTCGGTGCGGGTTGGTGACATGGGGTGGGGTGGGCGCAAGGGGCATCCGGGAGTCCGTCATTTGTTATTCACGGCGAAATTTGAAGATGTTTCCCCTGAAAGTTATTGGAGAAAAAGTGCATAAATGTTAACGGTGGAAACATGAACCCTGTGAGATGTGCTGATGACACAGTTATTGTACAACGTCCAATTGGAATGAGCTGCGGGAAATGCTGTAAGAACTTCAGAAAGAAGGCTGCAAAGTTGGGGTCCATATGAACCAAACTTAAGATCGTTGCGTAAAAGTTCACTCAACAATTGGTGATATTCGTGGAGGGAACACAACTGGGAAACACAGCAAAAATACATGGATATCTAGGACATTTATTTAACGTTAACTTGAATTAAAATAGTCTTAATATCATTCATAAAATAATTATATTTATAGTATATGCAATGTGAATTATTTTCAACAATATTGTCTCCAACCCCCACCATACGATGCCAATGTCAAGCAATTGTGCGGTTTATCTGATGGAAATGTAGATTAAAACATTTTTTTGGCTCATTGAGTTATTTACACCAGAGTGATTTAGACGATGAACACAAACGTAGCTATCCAAAAACATACATTTGTCTTGTAATTGTAGTAATAACAATGACAATTACTGAAATGTTAATCAGTAAAATTAATGGAGGTGGTGCTACCAGCAATCCCCAGATGGAAGGGAAAGAGCCAGTCGGCTTGGTGTCACCACGTGGGTTCATAACTCGAATTCGCTCGATTGTTTTGGCCAAGGAAGCGGATCGATCCGATGATCAGATGGCCATATACAGCACGGAGTTGGAGAGCAATTAAGATCGCATTACATGAGAATTCATCTAGTTATGTCCGATCTAATATTGAATAATTCATCTAAATAAACAGGCAATCGCTTAACTAACATCAGGTGCTCTTGACATTAAGTGAATGACGTTAAAGTTAAATAAACATAAATGTGTAACGACAAAAGTCACTTGATAAACACTGTAGGGAACTTTCTAAATAACTAAACGGTGAAAACTGTACTTCACCAACTTGAAAACGAAAGTTGTTTAGTTGGCTGCTGCTGGGTTTTATTGCTCCGTGCACTTGGATTCTGTTCCTCTTTTCACCACTTTCATCTCCCTCGCCTGGTACACAGGAGGTCGTGGGACCGAGCCTCACGCCTCCTGTATATTTGGAGTTTGCATGTTAACTGTCTCCCAGTGCTCACGTGGATTTTTTTTCCGGGCCCTCTGATTTTTACCCTCCACATTTTCGAATCAAGGTGCGTTTAGAGCATTTATTTGGCTGCTATAAATTTCCACATGGTCACGCCACTTCGTTGATCTCATTTGTGGCCAGGTTGCTTCTGAGAAAGAGCTATCGAGCACAGAGTGGGTCTTACCTGGTAAAATAAGACTAGTTAAAAAAAAAAGTCCTGGTATCTGCTTCCACCGTCCATCCTCTCTCTTTCTCTCGCTCTACCCTCTGTCTCCTGCTCCTCCTGTACTGGGATGTCCCTTTTCCTTCTAATTGTACCTGGCACCAGCTGATATACAACACGTTTAGCGAGAGACACCTGATTACAACTGGCCGTATTCCATGAACGTCGTTGATTAAAACATTGAAGTACTTTTCCAGCTGTGGAAGAATTGTGCTGATAAAAATTTTTTAATTTTTTATTTGGGACGTGTTTGCCGTCGTATGAGATCGGTGTGGCTGGGTGATGCTCTGGTTCGAGTGCACATGGCTCGCATTCAGAAAGTAGTGGAGTTTAAAACGAGTCTCACATGGTGGGAAATCGAGAGTGATTGTCTTGTACAAGATTTGCCCCCCCCCTCCCCCTAGCCCACCAAAGGCAAATCGAGTTTACACCAACGTCTCGGGAGATGAGTGCTACTCATTTTCTTTTGAACGTGGAAACCTAAAAAAAAAAGGAACTCCATGCATCTGGAATTAATCAAGTGGTCATCGTGTTCCCACAATCTACAATTCTGAACTGCTCTGAGTGTAGAATGGAGTAAAGCACCGATGGGTTATATACCCCGTTGTCCGCTATGATGATGTCCAGAGTTTCGCTGCGCGTGCTGAGAAGGAGAGATCTGTCTGGGTCTCTCGGTGTGCGGAGCGAAACGTCTGACATCGTTGCCGAACGGCGCGCGGCGGTGCAACCCCTGAAACGCGCCCTGGGGATCCGCACAGAAGCGCGGCCTGTGCCGAAGAGTGGTGCGTCGATGACCACCTTGTCCGTCCACAGAGCCTACGCCAACAGAGCTGCCAAAGGCGTGGTGGCACGGCCTGGGCGTCGTCATCCTGGTGGCGAGCGGCGTCTTCCTGGGCCTCGCGTGCGCGCTGCTGGCCTGCCGGCGACTCTGCTGGAGGTAAAAAGAGGCGACGATTTATTTGTTAAAGTTTCTTCTTGAGTGGCACGCTCGCGCGCGAGCCGCGCGCACACAACCACCGAGGGCCGCGCATCTCAAACAGATGTCCAGCCCCCCAAGATGGGAGTGATTTTCATATTCTTGTAAGCCACGTGCAAAACTTAGGTCAAGCCCCGTTGCATGGCTGTTGGAAACAATTATGAGGCCTCTTGTGGATAAAAACTGAGGTAAATATTTTTTTTTGGGCACTGGAAAGTGATTAATGGTGTAATTTGAAATTAAACGTATTGGTGTTTGTTGCTAATGAAAAACAGGAGAGGAGGAGGGTTTTGAGTCACTTATGAGGAGGAGGAACACATGCATGAATTAATTTAAGCTGTTTTATGGAAACCACGTTGATGGCGCATAGAGAGGTTTTGCCTCCGCGAGGAAAGTTTGTAAAAGGCCACGTGGATTCTCGCTCGAATAGGCGACGGTCCTCCTTGACTGCTTCGAGCACATCCCGAAACGAGCGGTGGAAATTCCACATTCCCATGGCAGAGAGCAGTCCTAAACAGTAACCACCGTAGACTTTCCACAAAGTGGTGCCCAAATCTATTGATCCCAGGGAAAATTAAATGCTGAGTTAAAGCAGAAATAGCAGCAAATTATGTGAAAACCAGTAGAGGAATGTTCCAATGAAGAATCAAATGCTCTGGTAACAAAACTTTATTTGCTCAGCCATTGAAGTTCCAGGAACTATACCCAATCCAGTAATTCAAGTTGGCAGGTGGGGTAAATTATGAATGTATAATCAGGCCCGGATCCAACATAAATTGTCCCTTGGACAAACAACGCTTTTGGCACCCGATGTTTTGTCATTTTATATTGACAATATGTATTTCCTATTCTCTGCAGGATTCACGATGCGTTTGTAAAAAAAAAAGAGAATTGGGCAAAAACTTTAAAGATCTCTAAACTTGTACGATGTTGGTGGCCTTTGCAGCTTGCGGCCTGGGTGGTCACACTGCCAAGCCCAGGCCTAAAGCCAGGCTGTTGACTAATACTTTACTTTATTGTTTTATCTTGAAAATAAGCCATGCTTTGCCAATCGAACACATTTTGGCAAAACACCTATTGCTCTGATCTACTACTGCACTTGCCTCGCTCGGGTGAGACTTTGAAGCATGAACTAGCACAGCGATGAGTTGGTGATGGGCTGGAATGGTGCGCACCGCCAATGTGTGGAAGGCATGAACTTGAAACGACATCTTAATTCACAACATTTAGCTCTGGGTTTTTATTTTCGGCAGTCAGTGTTGGCATACTGATGGAGATTTGTTTTTAAAGTCCTAATAAAACAAATGGGGCACTTCTCTGTCACTGCTCTTGACTCACACAGCCACACAGCATGACTGTTTAGAAAGGGAGCTATACAACAATAACAATAACTCACGGCCATGCAATGATTCACTCATCACTACCACCAGCACCACCAGAGTGGGTGACACTCGTGTCCCACCGCAAAGAAGGGCCTGGGTTCGATTCCCGACTCGGTCACATGCCTGTGTGGGATTTGTATGTTCTCCCTACTCTCTGCATGGGTTTCCTCTGGGTTCCCAGTTTTCCTCCCAGAGCTAAACAAAAATATACCCAGCATCTGGTATTGGCCAACCATCCCAATGCTGAAATATTACCTGGAAATCACACAATTTGGATTGCACACTGCAACATCTCTCCCTACTGCAAGCCACTTGGCAGTACCTTCCTCGAAAGAGTCTGAAGACCGAGTGAGACTCTCCAGGGTAAACAGATGTGCAGTGATGAACAATAATGATAATAAGACAGACTATGATCTTTCCATTTGTCTACGGTGCACTCCGCTCGATCTCTCACTCCTTGCCCGTGTGTGGGGAAAGGGCGCGACTCCCATCGATTAAATCGGAATTATGCTTCTACCGACATTTCCATACCGTCAGTTTAACACGTAGACTTCCGCGACCAATATCATCCATAATAGAGTTTGTTTTGGGTTAGATGGCGTAAATATATAAATGTCGTTAAACCCGCCACCACCCGACAGTTGATTAGTGAGGGTTGCCACGTAAACAGAACGTGGCCAATTCGTCACTAGTACAGCACACCGGTGTGTTGGAGAGCCAAGCCACAACATTTACTGTGTACGACGTTTCGCCAGTAATTACAACTAGCTTAATTTCCATACCGTGTCAACCCATACAGTTTACTCCGTATTCTGGTACAGGGAAATTAAGTTTTCAGGTCCATACGGCGTACAACCGTTTCTATACGGGCAAACATGTTTGTCTATTTGTTTGTGTTTCTCCCTTGTGGTGGGACTTTGTAGAATGAACGGAGTGACCAATGAGGTCTGAATTGGTCTGTAATAAGGGTAGGCATTTATAAAGGGGTTGACCGGTCTGCATTTTAGACTCGGTGTAAATTAAGTAGGGGGGGGGGGGGGTGTTCAGCCCTCTCCAAGCCCCCACCCCCAATGGGGGTTTGGTCTCGCGTCGTTCCAGTGCCCCCAGAGGCTCGCATGTCGCTTCATTCGAGTGTGAAAACTTTGCATTCCCTTTGCAGTGGTGGAGCTGCAGGATAAACAAGCGCACGTGTTCATAACAAACACAGTCGCGTCGATTCATTCACTGTAAGTACAGCGAATCGTTTTCACATAACCGTGCCTTCTCACCGCCGCAAAGTTACGGTTAAAAAATAGAGCCAAACAAGTAACACGTTTGAACAGTTTAGTTTAATTAGCGAAGGCCATGGTTAATTATTCTTAATTGATTTTTGGGTTAATTATGCCGCGGTTAAAATCCAAGCGATGGGTAAGTGTAAACGCATGTTGCTGCACACCGCAAATATGCATTTTTGAACATTATAATGGCTAATTGTTAATTAATCGGTTCATTGGTCACCAATTGATTCACTTGCACATTGCATGTAAAACACTAGAACGCAATGAAATTGCACATTAACGGGTATACAATGCAGTCGTTTTTTGCAGTTGGCACATTCATAGGTGTGGCGTGGTGGTGGTGGTGGTGGGGGAGTTGAGTGTGGAGACGCTGGCGTGAGGCCCATGCAAACCAAGCAGCTCGGGGGGCCCCAGATTCAAGAGAAAAAAAAGTACATTGAACACGAGCTAAAATTCTAATCCTAAAAATCATAAGTCGGATTGACATAAATAAGACAATGAATCTCTCATCTCTTTTGGCTGCTCGTCTATCTGCTCACACCTCTATTCTCACAACCTATTTATCGTGTCTATATTTCTCATCTCACTAGGATGCTATGAATTGAAATGTGGGGGGCCCCTAAAATTAATTCTACTTGGGACCCCCCCTCTTGAATGTGACGGCACCCCACCGCAGTACACGGCTCAGAGGAAGGAAGGGCCTCCGACGTCAGGGCCTGTGGCCAACCGAGGCCTGGGGTGGCCAACAAGGCCATAGGAAACCAGCATCAACAACGGCTGGCTTGGGAAATGGGACGATGATGAGCAACAAGAGGGGGTACAGTCTGGAAAAGGCCCAGAGACTAATCGTAATAATAATGATCCATGCAAAAGGTGAAATATGGGTGGTGAAAGGTACGACGGACCATTGGCAGTACAGTGCCTGTTCAAGCCTTTTGCAGTCCACACAATGAGGAATCCCTGTGTGGCAACAAAAAGGAACTGACATAACTCGTTGTATTTCTGTCACAAGAGCTCACTTATTCGGCTCCATCATTGCTCTTGTGTCTCCGCAGAGTGCAAGGCCGAGCAGTGGAATTGTTAAATCGCCGTAGTGCGAAGTCAGCAGCGCTTCTCTGCTGTCTCGTAGGCACAATTTCTTCTTTTTATCACGCGCAGTCACCCGCTGAATTATTGAGAGGAGGGGAGGCTCCTCCTGTCCCTGGGCAAAGTTCCCGAAGCATGGGGGACTACTCCCTCTGTTTAATCCTGCCTCAGAAATCATTTGCAGGGATGATAAGTGAACAATCTATTTTCCAGCTGGAATTTCGCACGGGCAATAATTAAACATTTCCCGTAAATAATTTTCAGTCGCAGTTATGACAACAATATAACATTTATTCCAGCCAAGCTCAATCGACCCATGAAAGGAGGTGTTTCTTCACCAAAACAGTCGCGGGCATTTGTTTTAAAATGTATTACTCTACTTCACCTCACTGGTCAGTGTGAGTTGGTAAAGGGAGTGGGGGGGGAGGGTAGGTCAGGACTGGTTTTCGTATCACTCACAATTAATGTTAGCCTTGGCCGGGGATTCAACTTAGTCGGAACAGCTTTGGAGCATGGTGCGTACACTGCAGCGTTGCAGCTCCACCCCCCATCATCGCAATGTCAGCTTCACATCTGAAATGGCCAAAACTTTAGTTACTTTTGTTCGTGCCTTTAATTCTCCAATCTAAATTCTGAATAATAAGCATCTGTTGTTGTGAGTGATCTTGGAAGCATGTCTCCTTGGTCTGGGTTCACTGTCATTTGTATTTTTTTGCTCTCATCGCGCCTTCTTGGTGTAGCGGTCGTAATTATAGACTGCCCTTAAATAATTTCTGTAATCGTATGAAGAAGGCACTGAATGACTGCCATCACTTTAAACTGACCCAAATTGATTTTGTAATGAATGCTCTCCATACTTTAATGTGGCACTCGTTAGCCTTTAGCCTTGTTCTAGGATTTGCTTCACAGCAGTATTTTTGCCAGTGGTTAAAATAGAATAAAAACCCTAGCAACTTATATCCATCCTGCTCATGTGGTCCATTGATTTTTCTTTGGAAAGACTTCCATAATTCAGTTTCCCAGTCAATTCAATGCTGACTGGTGACGCCCCGAGATGGTAAAGATGGTGAAGACAACGAGAAGGATGGCGAACACTTGAGCAGCACGCCGTGGATCCCACTCCATACGACAGCCCCGAGGTCTCCTACAGGGGCCCCTTTTATACTGTCAGCGTGGCCTGGCTCCGCCCCTGACCCCGCCCCCTTTCTAGAACCTACCAGCGGGTTCTTGGTGTGCCCCTTCTGTGACCTTTCCCCGAGATCTCCCTCTGGTGTATCACGTGGACTGCTGACGTCAGGGCTGCCGTAAGCCGCAGATCCCCTTCGCCGCCAGCAGCCAGCGCTATGCTGCTACATTACTCTTCTATGCCACTACACATTTGTACTGTACGTATATATGCCAACATCAGTGGCGATAGTCCAACCAGTGCTGCCCCCCACCCCTTCACTAGACCGACTGAACTGACCAGCATGGTGAAGTATGGTCAAAACACGTGAATTTCTGACATGGCGTGGGAGTGGCTTTCATCATGCAGTGGATGGACAAACAGCCGTAACATTAATAATTTTCATATTCTGTTTTTTTCAAGTTGTATCCCTCCAACAATTAGTTTTGATTGCCAAACCTATTTGTAGACGCAGGTTTGTTGTCGTAGTGGGGATGTCGATTTGGCCTCGCGCCTCGGAGCTGAATCCTCGCACCAAGCAGAGCCCAGTGTCCCCCCGCTTCCTCGGGATGGTAAAAAAAAGTTCCACAGGAGGCTTTGAGCCCCGTTTGAGATTGGTGCCACGCCACTGCCTGATTGGGCAGAGTGAGGAGACGCCCCCCTCCTCCCCCCACCCTCTGTGATGGTCAAACGATGCTAAGCGCGACTCTCTGTATTGATGCCATTACACGGGAGAGTAATTAAAGAAGAATGTGGGCGGTTTTTTGGACTTTTTTGTTATTGTTATTTTTTTTAGAGATGTGGTATTGCCGGGAGCTTGAATGCTCCTTAGCAGGGCCCCCCGCTGGTTTATTTTAAATTGTCCTTCCAGACTTTTTCTAAATAAAAATTTATTATTTACTGGAGCAGAGTTGATTTGTGAAATATGGCACGGTCTTTTGTGCAAATACTTTTTTCGGATGAAGGGTAACCCAGTCCATGTGTATTTTGTGTGCATATTGTTAACCCTTGTCAAATCCAAGCAACATCCCGAGCAAAGTTTCACACATGTTTGAGTCGTGCTCATTTTGGGCTTCGGTTGCTTGAAAATCCTGACATTCCTAGCTATTTGTTTTTATTAAATCACAGTTGAATCTCTGATTTTAAAGTCACGGCTATTCAAATGACAATTGCGAATGCTTTAAGCAAACTTTTTAAAAAGTGATCGGCTTTGATGGGTTGTTTTTACAACATAATACAGTAATTATAATAAACACCATTCTTTATAGCGCAGTGGCTATCAGGAAGGAGCTGTTTAACAGACGAGTCTAGTCCGCCAGTTGGGGCGATGTCGCTGTGGTGGCTTTACACAACTAAGTCATTTGCTAGGTGGTTTGATAACATTTGTACCGTGACGCAGACGCACGTGACCTACACTCGTTGAAATAACGCAGCGGGATCTTTGATATCCAGTGGGAAGCAGCACGGTGCGTCTACTTGCCATTTAATAATGACGCCGCTGTTTCGGGCAGGGGCGGCCGGTGATCGTGTGATGTCTCTAGGGGGCACGCCACACCAGGCGTGGATTGGGATGACCAACAAGACGTGCACTGCTGTGTTTGTCTTGTACGTCGGTGTGCACTCTGCCGGTGATTTCTTTTTACGTTTACAAACGCGCACACACAAACAAAACTCATCGACAGCCACTCGACAACTTCTCCTGCCACCCAGGGAACCACAGCCCCATTCCCCGCTCTGCTTCGTCGTGTTGATAGCGGCTCCTCCATCTCACCTGTGTCAGCGCGGCCCGAGTGTGAGCGCGAGGCTGAGCCAGAGGCGAGCACGCGACTCGGGGCACGGCCGTAACTCGATCCGACGGCAGGTGAACGGCAGGTGAACCGTCCGGCGTGTGGCGTGCAGGAAGCCGCGCGTGACGGAGGAGAACGGGGGGCTCAGGAGGTCGGAGTACGCGCTCACCCCGCAGCACGACGGCTTGCCGGACACCCTCGCCACCTGTACTTGAGGCCGCCTACCTGCCCGTGGCCCGCACGTGAGCGGCGGCGGCGTGCCACCCGGCGAATCGAGACGGATGCCCACCGCCAGGTTCAACGCACCTGTGCCATGGCTTGAGAGGTGGGGGGGGGGGGTATTGTCAAGGAACTGTCCTTTGAAGAAGAGCTGCGATTCTTCTTTGTAATTTTTTTGCCCAGTTGTGAATGAAGTTCGGATTTAGACAATGAAGCAAAGTGAGGCCTAAGTGATCATTGTCCCTTTGCCAACTGGGTACGGATTAGTTCTGAAGTGTAACCAAGGGTGACTTTGATTGCAACCCGAAAAACCATCTTTATAAATGTGTGTACAAATGTAAATCTTGAAACCAACTGGCTAGCGGATTTTCCTGAGCATACCGACCAATGTAAATCGTTGCCATAGCTAAAATAGTGATGTAAAATAGTAACTCTAGGTGAAGAGTAAAAAAGAAAGTCTGTTTAAAAATCTACTAATTTACGTGTACTCTTAAGATTTTAATTAATATTTTGAAATATCAGTCTACTTGGTCTTTCTATGGAATTGTCATTCTAGCAATTATGCATATATGGGCATGGATTAGTGCCAAAGTAAGGCATGCTGACAAAACGACAAACTAAATTCTACAAGTTTAAATATAAGGGATAAGTTAACAGCTGCCAGGAAATGGAAAATATGTTGTTTATTTTGTGTACTTATTACTAAATGTGTAACATTGTTTGGTTTCACGTTGACTTGTGCTGCACTGTTTTGCGATTGAGCAACACCACAAAGAAGGGGAATTAACGAGAAGACAAACTGAAGTGGATCGCCCACTGGGTCTCCGCAAGGAATGGGATTTGTATCTTCAAACGTGTCAAGGGTTTTATATTTGTCACATACAGACGCCCTTGTAGATTTATATCTGTTGGAGGGAACTCGCTGTAATGGATATAATTCGTACAATGTCTTATAAACCCTTGACAATATGTGGAACATATGCTGATTAGAGTTGCTATTCGGAGGGAGCGAAGACGGGCCAGTTTATAAGATGCCTCGGTGAAAGATTTAAAACACACGCCGGTTTTGGCTGAATGAAGTGGGTCCCCTCTGGTCTCCAGATGAATTCCACAACCGTCCGCTCGAATGTCTACAACGTGACAAGGCGGTGCTGCACCGTGTCCTGCATTGCGGGGGAGGTTGGAGTTTCTGGATGAAAACCAACAACATTTTTCACAATGACCCCAAAGTTCTGCGATGTGTCCTTAGTTTTCCAGAGTGCGTTACAATCCATAAAATATGGTGATAATGGCTAAGGAAAGAAAACCCAGGGTAGAAATTAGTTTGGTCTCGTCGTAGCCATGGAGTTGACAGAAAAGACACGATGGTGATAAAGTTTTACAATGAACATTATTTTTCAGTGCAGAATGCTGTCGGGCGCAAATAATGTTGGGTCGCGGTTTCCAAGCTGTTCCTCAGCCTGGCAGGGATTTGTTGTTGTTCTGTAATAAAATCGTCTGGATTCACTCAGGCAGCATTCATTTGTCAGAACACACCCTGCGGAATATGATCCTCTATGAATGTTTAAGCCGTCTAGAGTTCGACTTGTGTGTGAATGAATGTTATAGAGATTAATTGATCGAGAAGGCTCTTGATAGATGGATAAAATTAATTTTAATTTCATGATGAAACGAACCCCATCATTTCCCGTTTTGTGTTTGTCAATCCAATTAGGCATCAACATCCAGGCTTTATTTGCTGGAGGCTACCAGTCTCATAGTTGGTTAATAATGCTCATAGGGTTTGATTTTATTCGTTACAACTTTGAGTCCTATTTACCCCGGTTTATTCTGATCGTGCTATTGGTGTCATGTGATGAGATGAAGTAGCCAATTAGATCTCTGGCAGGGCAGTAAAACTCTTCTTGGAAGCGGATATCACAGAGTTTCCGCTTAGATGACGTCGAGGAAACTCTGATGTCCACACTCGAGGGAGCACTTTCCAATCCGCTCTGCATATGAGACGAATGTTAGTCGCTCGACAGTCCAACCAGCCTTTAATTCTCACGTTTAATTCTCAAAGCTTGATATCGAAATTAAGTGCAGAACCACATTAATGTAATGGGTGACAAGGTTGAGACTACCAACTCTACAATTGAGATCCTGGTTTCATCACAAGTTCAGCGCTCTGACCACCTCAGCCACCCAGGCACCTTTGATCTGATTTTATTTTAATCTCATTATTGCAGAAATAATTTTATTTTTTAAACATGGTCAGTTTTTTTTCTGTCGGCATTTCAAATAAACTGGTTACAGTTTAACACGTAGGCTTTCGCGACCAAAAACATCCATAATACGGGTTTTTTCGGTTAGATCGTGTAAAAATTGCGTATTTACGCGATCTAACCCAAGAACATAACCCAAGAAACCCCTGTTATAAACTGGTTACACTTGTAACCATGAGCTCAGCACCTCGACACCAACGCTGTTCTGCCGTACGATACTAAAGCACTCTTTCAAACAAGAATAATGTCCGCACATGTTCCGAAGCCTTAAACATGAGCAGGTCGAACCTAGGAATGTACCAAATACTGCACCCAGCAACGCCGGATTCGTGCTGCATTTGTCCGTGCCATTTACAAAGCTTGCCATATTGCCATCACGTGGCCAACTAAGTTGTTTCAGTGGGAGACGAAGCCATACATTTGGTTCTGGCAAATAAACTTTGCGCGGCGGACGTGCACACACGTGTTTCGATAGGAGGAAATGGCAAGCCAGATGAACCAATATGACGAAATCGTTGTGGCATAGGTCCTACCTCTACGGAGGTTTCTCTGACAAGCCGCCCTCTTCCTGCCGTTCATCACGGTCAGCCCGGGGACACTCCCAAGACCCAATCAAGCGCCGTGTACCAGGGTCTCGCTTCGCGAGCACCCAGAGCAGGCGGATGCACACAGCCCGACGGGAGTCTGAGTAGCAAGTGGGCCCGGGCTCCCGTTTTGTTTTGTCCGTGTTAATTCGTCTGCTATGCCCTCTCAATGCTGCCTAGAAACACGTCACATTGCTGCCTGGAAACACATCCTGCCGGGGGAGTTTTGCTCCACATTTTAAAAGTAGCTCTGTGGATATTTCAAAACCAAGGGGATGTCGACTTCATAATGGGGCAATAGGCCGGTGCAGCAGAGTTGGCAAATATCTCCTCGAGTCGCGCTCCCTCCAAGCGGGATGCCCTTCTGCCAGCAGTTGTGTGAGCAAGCGTTTGTAGGACTGCACATTTACCCGAGCAGGGAACGCACACACATCGGAGACGTGATTCCCACTGTTCAGAGTAAATGTGCTGAGGCAGGTTCCCTCCCTCGGAGGTGAGAGAGCCAGCAGCGGATCGAGATTGGGTGACAGTCATGATGACCACCGTGGAGATGGAGCGATGATGTCAACTCTTGTGCAGGAGCGAGAGGGGTTGTTGCATCATGAGGTGGCATCAGTTTGGGTGGGGGGGGGGATGATGGTTGGAAGGAAGGCCTTCATTCAGCGGTGGATTGATCATGGCTGATGCTGATCCCGTCCTTCCCGTGTGTGCGTGTGCCTTTGTTGCTGAAAATGCCGCTGGTTTCGCTTTGCCTTACAATGCATTCGTGCTTTCAAGTCAACTCCGTACACGTACAGTTGTCAGTCAAATTGTTGGGTGTTACAGACTCGCAGTCGTCATTACCGGGTTCAGGAAATATTAAATAAACAGGATATGATATTCTCTTGTTGGGGAGACAATAATTGTTTATTTCGCTTGAGGCATTTCAGTCCTCTAACCGTGTGGAAGGCTGTTGAGGTAACATTTCATTCTCTTGTTCTGCACTACGACTACTGCAGTAGCTCGCACACTAAAATATTGACGCATGAACCCAGCCTTTTGGCTAATCCCCCCACGTATCTGTTAACCACCACCACCATCATGAGTGTCGAGCAGCTGCGGGCTTTGCGTGAGAACGGCGGGGTTCTGACGCCTGCCCAATGCAGCGCCCCGTCACGGTGACACGTGGGGTCACGGGGTCGTGGTGGGGTCGCGGGGTTGTGGGGTCGTGGGGTCACGGGGTCACGGAGTCGCGAGCAAGTTCGCGACGCTCCCAACCCCAGCGACTTGAGTTTGATTCCCTACTCACTGTCAACATCGGTGGCACACTTCTGAACTGGGCACTCCGCCACTCTCCCCTCCCCCCTAGGTCAGTTCAGCCTTAAATGAGTTCCTGGTGCAATGTGTAAACTTCAGCGCCGAGGGGACAAAGGCTGGCCAGGCGTGGTTTCTGGCCACACCGCCCATTGCATCGGCGCTCGCCAACCACCTATGTGGGGGAATGAGTGGCTGCCTTTGTTGCGTGAACGTCAGCAACGGAGATACAAAGGTGGCAGGGAACGACCGCGGTCACGCCACCCATATCGAACGCTGGGTGGGCAGAGGGGGCAGGATGCAAGCCGCCTGCACCGTCGGTTTCACTGCCGCAACGGGAGATCAAATCGGCGACCTCTGAGCAGCAAATTGACTTTGCTGACCGCTACACAACGGGCGCTGCTGGATGAATTATATTCATGGCCCATTCAAAACGCCCCCAAATGATTTCCAGTAGCTGGTGGGGAAATTGCCCAGGCTGACGTTAAGACTTTGGGGGGGGGAGGGGAGGGTGGGGACTGTTTTGGTTTCTGCCGTCAAAATGAAGCCGCAGAAAATGAATGATTATAATGTAATTATGTCGAGCACATTTTCTCCATGGCTTTTCAACTACCAGTAAATTACAAATTTTGCTGTAATTTAGTGTGTCTGTAACAGCAACCATCCTCTTAATGACTACCTCGTACGATAACTCTTGTAATCTATCAATCATGAGAGCATTAATCCACGCTTAATTGAAGATTCCTGCAACTAGGCCATGTCTCGGTGTGCTCGCTTGTGTGTGTGTGAGAGAGTACGCGTGTGTGAGTGTGCTTGTGTGTGAGAGAGTACGCGTGTGTGTGAGCGTACACGTGCGTGTGTGTGTGTGTTAAAGGCCACGTGGCCTTAGTTTGTCAAGGCTATACGGGTGAGCTTTGTCTTTGTATCAACTTGCATGTGCCACTCGCATGCACATCCATTTGCCCAAGTGCGTTGTAGGAGTGCGTGTGTGTGTGTATATCGCTACCTTCGCGCGTGCGTGAGTGGGGGTTGTTTTTGTCCAAGCCAATGCGTGTCACATGCACATGTAGGTGCACATCTCTCAACCCGCACCCCGGCAAACCCCACCGCCTCCTCCCCAGCCCAGCAGTAGACCCACGGCTTGCACCACAGTGGGTCGCGAGGCGGGGTGGGTGGCGGGCGGCACTCCCATCTCTTCCAGCGTTCCGTCGAGTGGAGAGACCCCTTTTGGCAGCAGTGGCCCGAGAAAGAAACTGCAGGGCTGTACCTTTAGCTTGTTGCTCAATGTTGTAGCTGCTTGGCTATTGATTTCAGATAATAATTTTAAAGCATGCCTTTACGCACTTAATGCAGTCATTGTTCACAAGCCTTGAGGATGGTGAAACCAGATAACTAACCTTCACACGATATGAGCGTCGGGGGTGTTTATATACATTTGCTTATGTTCCTGTTTGCTCCTTCCTGTCAAAATGTACACAATTATCACCGGAAGAGTTCACGCGAAGTGAGTTTAAACGAGGAGGAAAATTCGTACATATACGCATGGATTCTTTATCAATTTCCAAAGTACGTTCCTCCTCTAGGGCATCTGAAATGGCAGTGATATGAGAAGCGCATTGCGGCTCAGCGTGGTGGTGTGCATCCCTAGCTCGCGGTGAGATCGCGGCTCTACTGGGCAGCGCGTGGGGCGCCTTGGCCATCGGAGATGGTTTGGTGATGGGAGGGCTTTAGGTGGCATTGGTTCGTTTATGACCTGGTTGGAGGAGCACACGATGGAGTGCGGCATCGCACGACTGTGATGGACGTGGACAGCGTGCAGTGGGTAGATCATGGCTGGTAATGATGATGTTTCAAGGCAGTACGAATGACAAGGCAGTGAACGTTTGTTTGGGGATGATAGTTTTGTTACATTTGGATCATCTGTAAAATCATTACCGTGGTCCCTCTGATTTAGAAGCACTGACAGAGCGAATAAGACATTCCACATTCGTCTGAAACCATCAAAATATTTTTTGCCAATAAATATCCAAGTGAAAACAAAAAACATTCACCATCAGGACTCGTCAATGATTGGTTGATTCTGCATTCACCAGAACCACTCACGTTGCTGGAGAATGCTTGTTTGCTGGTAGTATCCGTATGGTCATATATTCAGGTGGACCACGTTGAGGCCCACTACCCACAATAAAAAGAGTCTAAATATCATACGGTGCACACAATATACAGAGGCAATTGTGGCCATGGCGCAGAAGACATGAGATATGGGTTTTTAGTAGCAGAGTAAAAATGCATCCGAGACGATGTGAGTGGGTGGTTAAGTCGTTTAATTCCACAATTGCCAGCCAGCAGCACTGAGGTCATGGGTT